TCCTTCCGTCGGCCGCCCCGGCCGAAAAGAGGGTAACAGGGGTCAATCAAACTCAAGGCATGTAGGCAACGCCGTTCTGGACGGCATAGATTTCGACATCGAGAAAGGTGGACCTTTCTATGATGCACTTGCTAGGAGGTTGCCTGACTACAGCAAAAGAGGCAAAAAGGTCTACTTAAGTGCAGCACCACAATGCCCATTTCCTGACCAGTATCTCAACGGTGCTTTGTCCACTGGCCTCTTTGACTATGTTTGGGTTCAGTTCTACAACAACCCTCAAAGTGAATTTACCACCAGCAACCCAATGCCTTCAAAAACTCAAGGAACAAATGGACCTCCTCCATAAAAGCCGGCCAGTTCTTCGTCGGGCTTCCGGCTTCCAGTCAAGCTGCTGGCAGTGGCTTTGTGAATCCAAATGATCTGAAAAACCAAGTGTTGCCTTTTGTTAAGGGATCTCCCAAGTATGGAGGTGTCATGCTCTATGATAAGTTCAACGATGACAGGAGTGGCTATAGTTCTCAAATTCGAGGCAGTGTGTAACTTCAGCCCTGACTATCAGAAGGCTTAAAATAAGTAAAATAAAGAAGTAATGCTCTTTCATCGTTTTTAATTATAATAAAAGTTGATGATGTCAAAATCTTAAGCTTATCATCTTATATAAAGTTATTACTATAGTACAATCTTTAGAGTGTATGATTTTCAAAAATAATAATAGATATCTTTCATTTGTCTTGTTGCTCTTGAATCTCAATCACACTGATCTTTTAATCACTTAAACTACAAATTTCCTTACAAAGCGACCAAAATTTTAATCATATACCATTAGATCAAATTAAGAAAATTAGTGTCAGAAAACAAAAAGAACTGTCCACTAACTAAACTAATATCACCATTGGAAGATGAAGGCGATCCTTTGCTTCAAGTCAATCATTGAATTTCGATCTAACGGTGGGGATTCGTAAATTCTCACAGTCAAATTATGTTGACCAAACGATGTAATCCAAAGCCTGTTAAAAAATGTTTAGCTCTAAAACCCAAGGTGGTCTTGGGCCTCGACTCAACCAGGCCTGTTACAGATTCATAGCCCAAACTGCGGCTAAAGCAATTATTGTCGTCGTCTTGTCCTTTTTCCTGTCTGCCCAGCCAGACTAACCGACCCAAGTGAGAAGTTGAGCTCTCTCTCCATTTGTATTAAATGTTTACAAAAAAATGTTTTAAGTGTGAGTCTTCAATCACTCGTTTATTCACTTTTATGTATTAAATGTTTATGGGGAACTGGTTTTGAATGTTGAATTTCAATACAAGAAATCAGTACCTCGTCTTGATTGCAGACACTCCTCTGTTGGTGGTTTATGAGAGCATCCACAATGATGTTCTCTATTTCTTAGCTAAAATTTAGCTAAAAATATAAGAAAGCTATTTTAGGAGCCCTCTAAAAAATTTCAACTCCAACCATACTCCATAATTTGGAGAGTAATAAATGCTATAACTCTTTTTTGATTGGTCCATCTTTATTAAAAAATAAAATAAAAAATAATTAGCATTAAATAAAGGTTTGAAATACTAATTAAATAAAGCAGCATTAAATTATAGGGAGCCACTAAGAGTCCTTTCTCTCTCCTCAGATTTAGGAGTTCCTAGAGGACTCCCTATTTTAGGAGGTGGATAGGGAGCATGGTTGGAATTGCATTTTTACGATTCCTCCCTAAAATTTGTCTAATGAGGTGGTTTAGGGAGTCCATTGTGGATGCTCTAATGGTCGCCAAAGTATCATTTTGGTTTTCTGTACAATGAACGCTGGGGAGTGTTCCATCATTCAGTTTCTCTTTGTTTTATAACAACTTGCGTATCTTTTGAATTTATAGGCACTCCGTGTATCACAGATTGTGTAAAGGCAGAGCTTGAGAAGTTAGGTCAGAAATATCGTGTGGCTCTGAGGTATTTTCCCATGTTCTCTACTAATATATTTCATGGCAAAATGGTTTGCAATTGGTGGATGCACGGATGCATGTCTTGTACTACCATCCCTCTTCATTGTGCTGTCTAGCAGTTTTTTACTGTTTGTTTTTACATATTCTATTTGTTCGATTGTGTTTTTTCTTCTTTTCAATTTTTTTTTTCTGTTGGTCGGGTTCTAACCAATGAGTTGACTCCAGCTTCACTCATTAGCCTTGATAATTTGTTTGCTTGAAGTGACAAAAATAGTGTTTCTAACAAAGAAATTATTGTATCCTGACAGGATTGCCAAGGATCCTCGTTTTGAGAGACTACACTGCACTCATAAAGGAACCTACGCTGATGACTGTCTCGTTGAAAGGGTTACTCAGGTATGATTTACAGCAAGTAACTGCACTTTCCCAGTTTGTTTATTGGAGTCTTTACCCCCTCTCTTTTCATTTGGGGGTAGGGGAAGTTGGGAGGGTGAAGTATAGAGGCTTTATAGCCTATCTTCTCCTGTACAATTAAGTTTCCAATTTGTAGTATAATTAGTAAGTTGCTGCCTAGACTTGCTGAAGTGTGCTTGATTTTTCCTTGCCAAGTAGTCGTAGCTCAACCTTTGGCATTTGAGAGGCACAAGATTCTGCCCATGTGAACAGATACCCTGTTCTCTTTTTCCAAACAACAGTCTCCCAGTTTGTTCTAATCAAGTATAAAAAATTTCAGGTTGGAAAAAAGCCACAAATTGCATCCAACCCTTCTGAGAAGGCATTGAACTATGGATATTGCTTTATAACTAAAATGGTGGATCTTTGCTACTGCATGAATGTTAAAAAATTTATTATAGTTATTTGCTACAGTGTAACTGGACTGTCGCACGTTTCATTCACATTCTTCTATGTTTATGTTGTACTTAAGCAAACGACCACAGTCTGCATGTAATGTTTAGAATTGGGATAGTCAATCTCATCAACAAGAAATCAGGTGGCTTTTGAAGAAAAAGGAAAATGCATATTTTCTCTCCTGCGACAGTTCACTTCAGACTATAATTTCAAAGTTTGTCCATTGCAGAGAGTGGTTGTGCATTATCTGTTTTGTATATTCTTTCTGTTAACAGACTGGCAAAGTTACTGGCCAGATTGTGGTGTTTTGGTGATTTCTGTTGCAGCTTATGAGAATTTTCTGATATTGACTGAGCACCTTGTTTTGTTGGGTACAGCACAAATGCTACATTGTTGCTACGTGCGATCGAGATTTAAAGCGAAGGATCCGAAAGGTGGAATAGCGATTTTGAACAATGTTATGTGACATTAAGACGTTAATGTGTAACTTTGCTTGTTTAAGTGCAGATCCCTGGTGTGCCAATCATGTACATCACTCAACACAAGTATTCAATTGAGCGGTTGCCAGAAGCAACAATTGGTGGAGGTAGGCTTTGGATACCAGTCACAAAAGTACTGTTAATGGTCAATGCTGTTTTATAGTATTCATAAAGTTTACGGGCTCATGTCATGGATCTTGTCACTGAGGTGTTCCTAAAAATAACGCAAGATGATTATTGCCGGTTCTTTTTAATGAATAGGAAGATGAGAGCCAAACTTTTGGGATTTTATTTGAATGGGATATGCTACACAGTGTTTTAAAAAACTAGTTTACTTCAGGTAAGATACTTATTGATACTTGTATATTCTGTTTTGGTGCAGCTCCAAGATTTTTATGATGGGGATGTGACCTTTACAAAGCACAGACTAGTTCCACCATGTGATGCGAATCACATTCTGAGAGACCACCAACAAAAACGTCTGGATTTTTTTTTTTATCTTTGATAGTTCACTTCATTTTCGAGTTAGGTGAATTTTCTTTCGGTTAGAACTTGTGAACTTTTTTCATTCATACTATCATTAAAGAAGAAATGGATGTCCGCATGTAGCAGTAATGGTATTTTGTATTTTTTTTCGTATTTACTCATGCAACTCTGTTAACTTTTGTAGTTAATTGGGTAATTATATCCATTACACAGCTATTCTTTTGGGATCATCAAATGCTAGAGTGCCAAGCTGCATGATGATTCTGAATTCTCTTCAGAGAATGATGGTTCTTTATTACAAATCAACTCAAAATCCAAACGAAAAGAAATAAAAATAACACAACCCCGAAACAGAGCTCACAAACAACGCACAAAACACAACTTGCCACACATACCGATAACTATTTCATTTAAACAAGATATATTACGTTCTATTTTCTGTAATTACTTCAACAAAGTTGGATGAGTTTGACTCGAAGAAACACTCCAAAGCCCGACGCGTACAGGCTGATTAGGATTCTCAAAGGCTCAAGGTCTTTCTTAAGTAGCGTACTCGGATATTACCATTATCTTCATGTTTCTATAAAGACCATATCGAATCAGAGCCAGCAACCCCTTTATTTGTAAAGCTCCTAAACCCAGAAGCCTGTAGTTTTAAACCAAAGTAAATAACGAACAGTGAGCAAGTATGAACACTTTAAAAAAATATACATCAACAGAATATTTTCTGCAAATGTGGCTTGACAAAACAAAGGACAAAAGAATAACCTTTTTCAAGCAGAAAGCTTCAAATGTACAAAGAATGCTTGGTGTAACCGCACATCACCATCCCAACAGGGGTAGTCTTCTGGGATTATAGCTAGTGCCCTACACATCGGACAAAGGTTGTTCTTCAGAAGCCACTCCTTTATGCAGTCGGAATGATATTCATGAGAGCAGTAATATAAACTCGCAATCTTGTCTTGGTCCTTATATTCAATCTGCAGTGAAACAAAAGATGAGCAAATGCTGCAAGAAAACAAAATAAGGGCGGAGTTGGGACAGTTTATCATAGAACATTATAGCATACCATGCAAATGCTGCAACTATCAGGTTCGCCCACTGTTTCCGATACATGGAGTCTTGTTCTTAAACGGTTCATAATGGTTGTCTCTGACAACCCAGCTTTCTCCTTGGAAAGCTGTTCCTCCAAGAAACAACGTAGATCCTGCAAGGATACGCGGCCTGTTATGTACTTGATTTTCATGACAGTACGTTTACCTTCATCCCTACTTATTACGTAACATAAAACTGAAGAACAAACTGAAGATCACCCCCCCTCACCTCATCTTTCAAGTTATCGGCCAAATTCAAAACACGGTAATAATTCATCACTTTCTCCATGCTCGACAAACTCAACATGTGAGACACTGTCCACTTTGGCCATTGCATCTTAGATGCTTGTGTTAGTTTTGTACTCGTGTAACTTCCCTAAGGAGAGATTACAAAGGAAGCAAGCAGAAAAATTAGTTATATAACGAAGACCAAAATACTGAACTAAATTGAAGTAGATTGTTTTGAAGAACGACTATAAACACAAGAACATACCTTATTTGTCCTATCCGATGATAGGCTGTTGCTTGCTCTCTCTACACAGCCACCTTCCCTGACATTACTCCCTGAAAAGAGAAGTAAGAAATTCACCACTTGTTCACTAAATTGCAATAGTCCTCGCTAAGAATTATGCACTTCAACAAATAAATGACGAGAAGAGGATTTCAACACAATAGGCACGCGTTAATTTTCTAGGATAGAAGAGACAGAATGGAGCACATACATAGAAGTTTGAGCATACAACCCAAAACCAAATGGCAATGAGTGAAGACGTGATATATTGCAAAATATGTCTTAAATTCCCAATGTGCAATTTTACACACACAAGCACGCCCCAACATAAGGCGGGACTAAGGTTACCATGTCATCAATTACGTTAACTGACGGGAATGTAAGGTTACCACGTCATCAATTACGTTAACTGTCGGGAAGCATATGTGGCCATATGACCTTACTTGTGAATAGCCCCCTCTGATACCATAGAGGCTTAACATTTTGAGTATAATGCTTAGAATTCACGACGTGAAATTTTATGTTCACAAACACAACCTTCACGTACGGCGGGACAGAGGCGAACACATCATCAACTTTATTGATTGACGTGAAGCCGATGCGGGCCTATGGTATTACATGCAGATTGCACAATATGATACCATGTTAAAATTAGACAATCCGCCCAAAAATCACATGACAATAGGTGGAGAGACTTAAGATGTTATATCTCGTTATGGGAGGCTTTATTTTCCCGCCGTGGAATTCTATACTAGCCAACACGATCCTAACGTGCAACGGGACTAAACGAAACATGTCGTTAATTATATTGCTTGACATGAAGCATATGCGGCCACAGGGCCTTACATGTGGATTCATCTGCTCTGACACCATTTTAAAGTAAAAGCATCCAACCCAAAACCATTTGACAATGCATGGTCGGGCTGAAAACATTTATATACTGTGGCGCAAAGCTTGAGATACCTGAGATAGTACTTATATTCTGAACATCATGAAGATCATCCCTGCTCTCTAGTCTTCCTTGGGTAGACAGAGGGGCATCCTCATGAGCACCTAAAGAAATATGGTTGGAAGATTCATTTGCAATATCTACTGAACTTGAACTTGAACTTGAGCCTGTTGAAACCTCAACTTCTACACACTTGCTGGTTGTAATTTGTGCCTTACTTTGGCTACCTATAAAGGAGATCTATGTCAAATATATTTCAGCTCCCAAAATGAAAACTCATCATACCATACCATATACCATGAAACAGAGACATAGACATCAAATTGACAAATTGATTAGTAACCTGCGTAACAAGCATCTTGTGAACAAGTGCTCCCATCATCCTCATCATCCAATTTTCTCCTCAAATTCCTTTCGCTACAACCTGATACACATTCTAAATTCTTCCCTTTGCATGAACCATTAGCATCATCCATGAAGCGATCCTTCCTGAAATGATCGGGTTGGTCATGATGATTGCCAATCGATAGTATCACTCGGGATTTAGAAGAGCTTGGCATGCTAGAAATTTCAGGACAATTAATGAACAGTTGAATTCGAAATTGAACATAAAGTTTCTCAGAGAAAACCCTCAACTGATGTACTTGAAAATCCAAATCTAATCTAAATAAATATGCAAAAATTGAGTCAACCGTTTGGGAAGCATGACTTACTCAGAAGTTTCCGCTGGGTCTGAATGCAATTTCCACAGAGTCGGCAACCAGCCTGGACCGATTCGCTTTGTGAAGGAGACAATTAAGTGGCGGTGGATCTAATGCTTTCTGTCCTTGTCAATCCAACCCCCCATCGTTTTCTTCAACCAGCGGCTACCCACCGAACACGTAATCGACGGCTGAGATTGTGCCGCGAAACGTGGTACAGGTCAGATCTTATTTGATATTGGCTAGGACTTTTTGGAGATTTTATTTTTCTTTGATAAAAGTTAGAGGAGGGCCTGCTTGTCTTGTCACGCAATTGAAAAGTAGCCTTCCTCTATTATTTTTATGGGAGTTTCATTAAAACACCCAAAATGGAGGTTGAAATTATAAAAAAATTCAACACCCAAAATACTTTATAAACACACTCAAAACCTATCATTACACACACTCAAAACTCATTTATAAACACACCAAAAAAATTGACTTTGGGGTTGATTTTAAGTGTGTTTCTATGTTTAAATAGTGCTTGAATTTTTTTATAAATACATATTTAGGATTGAGTTTATTTATAAATTTGTATATTTTTATTTAGAGAGCGACTTTTGTTGACTTTTCTGTTTTGTTTTTTGACATTTTGTTACGTATCGACAAAAGTCACAAAATTATTGGGGGACCAGCGATAATTAATTTGAAAGCTCATGGAAAATATACAAGCAGTGATAATAATATAAATTTTTTGGTGGTTGAGAAATCCCTTGTATAAATACTCTAAGAATAAGAAACAAAGCTCACAACTCGCTTGGTTGAGAGATGGTTTTCCTTTTATCAGATAATAAAATTTGAATCTCTTAAAAAGAAAAACATCCTGCTTCCTGCTTCTTTTCTTCTTCTTTTTTCTTTCACCTTCCTTCATCTTGATTACTTCCATTCTTTTGAGTGTGCTGCAGAGGTGTTTATGTGCATACAATAACAAAGATGAGGAGCATGAGACAAGCAATATTGGCATATCATATGGGTGGACATCCAACTCATTAAAATTATACGTATATATATTTATTTATTTATTGACATATCAATTTCTTATTATCTTCATTAATTAAAAAAACCTAACCCTACTGAATTAGAGACTCTTCAGTTTTCACGTTGTCTGTCGACCTCCCCCAATTCCATATCTCCCTCCTTCCTCTCCTCCCCATCCTCGGCACTCTGCCGGCCTATGCAGCCGATGGATCCATCGCCTCTTCGCCGCCACAAGACTCCCTCCTCATTGGCTTTTTGGTCAGCACACATATAGTAACAACTGCAGATCTGCTTGATCAAGACCCATATCATGATCAACATCATCGCGGTATAATGGTCCTTCTATGAGAGGTTATATATGGACGTGGTCGGGGCAGGTGATGCAAGGAGCAGTGTTATGACCCCTCAACTACCGTTGACCAAAGATTGTAGACCTCATCTCAAAGGAGGAGGGAGTGGAGTGGTGGTGGATCGACGGCAGAGGTCCGGCGAAGCTCCGGTGATGGGAAGAGGAGAGGAAGAGGGATAGAAGGAAGCGGTGTCGGATCCCTCATTATTTTATATTCAAACGTGATACAAAATGTGATTTTCCTCCCATTTTTACTCAAAAAGTTATTGTTTCATCGTCAACCTCATAACAAAACCATTCAATATGCAAGTAACAAGTCAGTGGCACACCGAAAATCTGCTCAGCTATTCTTTATAAAATATCCAAACATATAACACTAAGCTGCTCAGCTTATTTACTGCTAGTGAGCAACTGCAAAATTAAACCATCAAACTCATCAAGGTGGCATCAGTCAGCTGTTTTGGGCACCTCAGCCTGCGCTTCCTCTCCAGCAGCCTTCTCCGCCTTCCTTTTCTTGGCATTGCATCCCTCCACCTCACCAACAACACTACTTTTATCAGTCTCCTCCTCCTCCTCCTCCTCCTCCTGAAATTATCATGCCATAAGGATTCATATGCAAAACTGTATATATGTTTACACAAAAAAACAGAGAACATATATATACCAGTAGGTCCACTGCAACTTGGTTGAGGTCTGGAATGCAAGGCCTGTGCTTCAACCCTTTAGCTGAAGAGCAACCCACCTTCCACCCCAATGCCCGGGGAGTTGGATGGGTCATGGAGGCGGTGGATGGCATTGGCATGTCAATGGTTATGGGCATTTTCATAAACAGCCCGACTCGGACGCTTTCCATCACTGCCTCCATAACTCGGTCTTGTAGAGTCAACATGTGCCATATCTCCACCGAGTCCAAACTTCCGAGTCCACTGGAAGTCAACATCTTCAGGTACTCGGTTTTCTTCTCCTCGCCGAATTTGGTGGCCACGTAGTCACCCACAAGACCCACAAATTCGGCGAGGTTGATCTCCTTCGCGGACGACACCAGTGCCTTCATCGCCCCGAACTCGCCAGGCTGTGTATGATGTTCGGGTCGGGCATTTCGGAGTTACTGACCCAATCCAGATCAATCATCGTGCGGTCTCCATCATCACCCGATATCACGCAAAGTTTCATGAAGTCGAACTTGTCCGCCGCCGAGAAATTGAAGTTGAAGTTGAAGGCGACACCGGAGCAAAAGGCGCGAGCTTTGACCATACAGCCCTTCGGAATCGGGTCGGTGACGTCCATCACTAGGATGCTTTCTGGGCTAAGAGCTTTGTCTCCGGCGGTCAGGAGGACCATGTAGTATCTGGTGGTTTTGGCACTACGGTCCACCGGGTCACCGGTTTTTGACTTGGGTCCGAAGGCTGCGGCCAAAGGTTCGGGTGCACGGGCAACAGGGTTACCCGCTACGAGGTCATGGTTCATTTCGGGGTAGAGGGCAAGCGGATCATATCGGAGTTGTTTGAGTAGCGTTTCGGCCAAGTTGTGGTAAGTAGAGGGAGCAATTGGAGAAGACGACGACATAGTTGCTTCAAGGGATGAATAATGTCGGGATGAAGGGAAGGAGAAAGATGAGACCTTGTTTTTTTTTTGGGGACTCGAAACGCACTTTCATTAAACGAAAGGGAAAAGAAGGGCACAGCCCAAATACAACCAAGAAACAGCACCAACTTAACGAGAAACCAAGCTAACAACTATAAAACCCCAGGGAGTATTAGGCCAACTACACGAGCCTGACCCAAAAAAACCACCAACCGCCCCAGAAGACGAGCGTCAGTTCCTAACTGGGCAAACGAACCTTAGATTTGTGGAGGACAGGGAGAATTTGGGATTATATATAGGGGGGCGAGGATGCTAGCCAGTCTGGAGAGGCTAATGCATTGGGCTGCGGAGGGTAAAATCGGAATAGGAAAAAAGGAATGTAGTGAGATACGAGTGAGTGCGTAATATACAGACAGCTGTCATAGAAAGGAAGCAAAATGTTTGCTTCGACTCACATCTCACATCTTACGGAAACTCACGGAATATATTGACAGCTGTCATTGAAAGGAAGGAGAATGGGTTTGGCTGTTGATTTGGTTCAGCATAAGGTCAGAACAAAGTTGAAACCACCGACAACAATTTCTGCTATTATTATTATTTTAGGCAAAGAAAACTGAAGAAACAAAAACAAACAGTTGAAATTTGCTTTGTTTCCATTTCATTTATTTATAATAATCAGTAATATAATGCTGATCGATTAGTTGTCGATAAAATATAGCAACCAAAAATGCATGGTGGTGTTGATGAAAGGGTCCTACCATCGAATCTAAGTGTTGATATATAATTTTCTTTAACAATGTTTTTATTTTATTTTATATAATTTCAAATTGTAAGAGTACAACTTGCTTAGCGCCTCTCACATCATCCATCTATGCTAATTTGTTGACACTTATCGGATAATAAAATATACCAGCTTAACATCATGACCAGCAACCATTTGTCAAAAGTCATCAATCAGCAGGCAGAATTCATGCAAATCAGTCCAAGACAAATTCAACATCATCTGTACAGGCACAGGGGGCCATTTGGTCTCGTATGGATTCAGTCTGATGAATTTATCAACCCCTATCTAAATTTCAGTTTCAAAGACAATTTTGTGACACTTGATTCTCAATTAATTTGTCTGTCACCAAGAGCATAGATGGATGATGTTTTGCGCAATTATGTTATAAACTTTTTGATATATGACTCACACTCCATCAAATTAGGATAACGACTGTCAATATCTCTCTAGAAATTAATCCTAGAAGTTTTTTGTAGTACTTACGACGAAAGTCAATGTTTCTCCCTCAATCTCATTTTTATTTCAATTCTCACTCTTTTTCATCTATATTCTAGCACAAAAAACAAAAAAATAGAAACTAAAAACTAGAATTTAAATAATTATCATACTCGCTCTAAGATAATGCTAATTAGTTGCTAATAGATACCAACCAGAATGCATGATGCATGGTGGGACAGGCGATTGATTGGGAAGGCAAAGATTCTGTTTCTAGTTATCAAACGGTCCTTTCTACCGTCACCGCCGTTGTGTGTTGACATTGGAATAATAAAGGTAGCCTTCAGTTGACCAAAGTGGACTTTGAAGTGAGAGTTCATTTTTTTTTTCTCTTTTTTCTTTTTTTTTTCCGAAAGTCCGATGTAGATGGTTTACAATTTTAGATTATTTTTTTTTCTTTTATTTCATGTAGCTTGTGCATCTAAATACACACGTGTCGCCACCTAATTGATAATTGACCATTTAGCAAACGGGGTCAACAACTCACCGGATCCGCTCCCACATAGAACGAAAGCAAATCTGCTTGTTCACATCAGCAAAATGAGATGAGCTATTAGGCATCCTAGTTCCAAATCATGTCATTAGTTAAAAGGTTTTTTACCACAAAACGTCCCTGACGTTTGCGAAATTATCAGATTACATTTTTAAAATTTTTTTTGTATCACTCATGGTTCCTAATGTTAATATAGATGCTCTTAAATAGTCTTTTTGTCAAAAAAGCTGTTGAATCCAAATATATAATCATCAAATCAATCCAAAATTATAATATATATATATTTTAATTTCCTTCCCTTCTCTCTTTCTTTTTTTATTCTTTTTCTGTTTCTCTCTCTCTTCCCCGACACAATACTCCTAAAACCTGCAAGTTCAAAAAGTACCACAAAACACACAGACAGAGTTTTTTAATAGACGGACTATTTAAGAGCACCTTACAAGTAAACTATATTTTAATATTTCTCTTAAATAAATGAAAGCAAGCATACGACCATATGCAATCTCTACTGTCATGGTTGATTAGGACATGGAGATGGAGATGAATTTTGATGCACATTCATGTAACTTATAACATTTCAAAAAAAGGACCACATTCATGTAATTTTTAACATTTCAAAAGAATTCCAACGACATATATATCGCGGCCTTCATTCGTGTGTCTTGTACTTTTGACTTTGTTTGCCCAAGGATTTTGCCCAACTACTTTCAAGTCATTAATCAACAATTAAATACACCATGAAGAAATTAGATTAATTCATCCGCTGCTTTAATTGAAGAAATAAAAAACGTGGGTGCCCAAACTCACATTGCAAGGACAAACTTTGGTCACTGGTATTGTAAACCTTTTGCAACCAAAAGACCACCCTTCATCAATTTTAGCATCTTTTTCTTCAAAATAGTTAATTTCTTGCCACTGTGTACAGCTACATGACATGATTAATTGGTCCATATATACTTCCTTTGCAAACAAGAAGAAAAGTGGTCCATATTTCCAAAAAGGATCAACATATATAAGCAGTACAATTTGACTAAAGTCTCTGATAACACAACATCAGAACATCCGTACATGAGAAACACTTCCAGGTTCCAGCCTGCATCCAGACCAGCAGCATCTTATTTATGTATAAATAAAGTCAAACATTCGTGTATGTATAATTGCACACAAAAATTAAAGAAAAAAGTGGATGGATGGATGGGGTGGGTTGAGGCTGATGATGATGAGTCCTCTCATCTGTAGCTTCAGATTCATGGATTGGCGGGCTCGTCAATACGAAGAGCTCCACCGTGCCTGCCCTTCTTCCTCTGCAGATGCTGATCATACGGATCCTGGTCGTCCATTACAGCCACCGCCTTGCGCTTCTGGTCCTGATGATGATCAGCCTCATCACCGCTGCTCTCCTCCTCATCAACATCATAATTACCGCTGCCCTGGTCCTCTTCCTCATCATCAACAACATCATAATTGCGAGCATCCGAGGACTGAAAATTGGGTTTAACAAACAAATATGGGATGTATAATAAAAATCGATAATAATAATCAAAGGTAAAACAAAGACGGCAGTCTGAGAGAGTTGGATACATAAATAATTTATAAATACCAAAGTCTCTTTGTTGTCGTCGAACCAAGTTGATGATGCTTGCTTGTAATCAATCCTAGTATCTTGCTTGACGGGGGCCTTACAGTGATGTGGCGGAGCGAGGACCAGCTCCAGAGGCGATGGAAGATCCTCGACGCGGATTAGGGCTTCGATTAGGCCTTCCTCCACCAGCTCCTTCTCAATTTCACCTCCCCGGGAGAGGGACAGCATATTCCAGATCCGAATGGAATACAGATTGCAAAGCTGGAGTTCGGTCAAGCTGCTCTTGTTCTTCATATACTCCGCCAGCCCCTCGAGGCCCTCTTGCTTGACAACCAACGAACACACAGCATTGATAAAATGGAAGATGTTTCTGTTCTTGATTATTAGGACCAGCTCCGAAGCTGAGACATCTGGTGGTGGCAAGTTGAGGTCCGGGATGCCCTTCGCCGTGTAGTTCATGTCGGCAAGCTCTGGTGGCGGCAGAAAACAGAAACCCACGAGTTGGTGGCTGCTGTTGCTGCTGTGTAAGTCCATGTTCAAGCGGAAGGCCGAGCTTGCAGCGATTGCATCTTCTCGGCTCAGGCCGTTGACGGGGATCGAAGACAAAAAGACCCTCTCTGGGCTCAAGCTTGTGGTACTGTTTGTGCCGTTCGTTACTGCAACCGAGTAGAGTCGACTGGCATTTGGTGACATGAAAGCAGGTGAAGAGGGTCGGTTAATTGGGCGTGAATGGACCCTTTCTTCAAGAAAGGGTCCATTCCCTTGTTTGTTACTGCTTTCTTCAACCTCTGCAGCTTTCATCGCATGGAAACGGACTTCTTGTTGGTGGAGACGGAGTAAATTGACTAAAGAAGAAGAAGAAGAAGGAGAAGTGATCATTTCAAAGGGGTTTTGAAGAAGAGACGAGATAGTCATAGCTTAGCTCTGTGAGTCTAGACTAGAGACTCAGAGAGGAGAGAGAGGTGAGGGGTGTTTGAATGTTGAAAGTGGTATTTATAGATAAATGTACGGTATGTTTGGGAGTGCTTTTGGAAGGGCTAAAAGTGCTTCTGACAACGTTTGGCAGAAAAGTTTAGAAGTGCTTCTGGATTATAGAAGCACTTCATGGAGAAGCACTTGCTATGTGCTTATTTAGAAAGCACTCCCAAGTATTTTTCCACGAAGAACTTTAATTTTTTATGAAAATTCTAAATTTTTATAATAAAAGCGCTTTTGTTAGAAGCGCTTATGAACAGAAGTACTTCCTAGAGAAACAGTCTCAAACAAGCTCTAATTTTCTTCCATGGAAGGATCCATTTAATCAACTTTTAGTGGGGCCTGCATGCTCGCGTGGTTTCCGATTGTAGTTTATTTCGTTTCCCTTATAAATAAAAAAAACAAAAACAAAACTTTGTATTGGGGTGGGGTGGGGCCAGTCTCTCACTTTGTATTGGGGTGGGACTATTGTGTATTGGGGTGGGATGCTAGCCAGTCTCTCACTTTGTATTTGGGGGGATGGAAATTTGGGATGATAAACTCCAAAAATAATGATTATTTTATTAAAAATAAAAGAAACCGCGTTGAGTGAAGGAAGCGAATATGTTGGAATTAATGTGCTATGGGGTGGGAAAGTTTTTCGGAGTCCTGTTGGTGGGTTTAATGTGTTTTTTTAATTGTATGGCCATTTCTGATTGAGCCACATCTTCATTTTAGAAGGAGTTCATTTTTCTCTTTCTAGAGCAAACAGTAGTGGACAAGCTGTGACCATAAAATGTGTAGAAATGACCAAAACTGTCGGGCAATAAATTTATGGCTTTGTTTTCTTTGCTTTATCATGTATATGTATATATAGCCGCCACTAGGCACAACCACTTAGATTAGTTGCTTCTTGGTTGAATTGACTCTATATATATATATATATATATATATACACATTAACCTTCTCTGGTTATTATATTGTCATATTTGAATTATTTTTTTGTGGGCATTTGTATTTGTTTTTGTGGCTGATGATCTTTGTGATTAATTTATGAATATAATTATCGCTTTTCTCTCACACGTGAGGAATTAATTAATTTTTGGCAGTATAATAATGTTCAAGTTCAACGACATTTTAATTAATTTTCAAACAAAGATATGACAGACAAAATCTATTAGCTATAAATTCTAAATTGATTTGGGATTTACCTAGCCATGAGAGAGAGAGAGAGAGAGAGAGAGAGAGAGAGAGAGATCATCACGTTGGGTCTTGGAATGTAGTGTTCGGTAGCCCCAACTCTAAATCATATATTGAAAAACCATAAAATATTGGATTAGAAATACTAAATCTCATATTAAAAACTGGGTTAGAAATAATTTGACAGAAGATTATGAAAAAAAGTAAATACAGCTAGCTGCGAAGAAAAATTTGCAAAGACCCGATTGAGACCCCCACCAAGGACAAATCATCTTTTTATCGGCCTTATCCACCAAACCATACACAACTAGCTATGAAGGGGTCAAACAACCAAATCAATAAAAAGAGGGAAGCTTGTAACAAAAATAAATAAAAAGCGGGAAGCTAATTGTAATTAATTAAGGTAAAATAATATGCTTGTGGCATGGAGGGTGGTTGTAGATAGACCCAGCTTATCCACTTAGCTTCGAGTGAGACAGTGACTTAATATTAGCATTATGTTAATTGTCCTTTTGATAATCGTTTTTTGTGTGTGCTAGAGCATAGAAGAAAATGAGAGTTAATGGAAGTGGGGATGAGATTGAGATAGATGATGAGAGGGGAGGGTGGGAGAGAGAAGTAACAAAAGTGAAAACAAAAACTTGAAAGTGAATTTAATTTCAAATAGATTTCACTTTTCACTTTTTATTTTCACTTTTTTTACACATTCCTCTCATCTTCCCTCTCAATCTCATCTTCACTCTCATTCTCAATTCCATTCTCCCTCTTTTTCCTTTATACTTTAGCACAAAAAAATTAAAAACTAAAGTTAAAATTGAAATAGTTATCAAACGGACCTATTTGGATGTGGTCTCCAAATCCAAGCTAAGTCAAGTGGTCTCAATTTCAAATCAAGTCAAGTGGAGACCCAAAGACCTTCCCAAAGTAAAAATATTGTTATTTATAATAACAATAACCAAATAATAAATAAATTGAATGGCAAGCTTGGCTTTGGTCAGCCAAGGGGTTTAATGTTTGATTCTAAAAGAATTTTGAGGCAGCAGATGCAACAGTTAAAGGGTTTCCTTCAATAACAATGGCAGCTGGAATGGTGAAAGAAAAATGAGTTACCTGAGCTGAGCTTTTACCAGAATAGTTGTTGAGTTTCCATGATAGGCAACATAACAGTTAATTGATCCAAAGTCATGGCTGGGGTCAAAGTTAGACCAATTTGGTTCAACACTCTAGCTCAAAAAATGCAAACCTCTTTAATCGACTTTAATAAAACTTCTATATTCTAGCAAATATGTTGGAATTAAGTGAGATATTTATTCTTTTAATTTAAGTTATAATACACACTTTGAAATTAAAATCTCATAACTAAGTATCATATGACGGCTAAATCAGTATGGCACATGACCAACACTTTATTTTGAAACTTTTCAACACATAACTAAGTATACAGTCTTCTTCTATTGAAGGATCCCTCAAATAATTTTTTTTGAGGGACGACCATTAGGGTACCCTACAATTTTTTTCCTAATGATCCAAACCATCTAATTTTTAGGTCTTCATTCATAGATCATCCTTATAAAAAATTAGATAAATCGGAAACCGTTTCGACATCCAATTGTGTCTTACAAAATCAATGAATATGGTGCTTAAAGAAAGTACTAAAATTTCAATAACTCAATTGAGTGGTCAAATGATATCGGATTCAAGTGATTTTTTATAGAGATGATCTTTGAATGAGTATCTACAAAATAGACGGTTTGGATTATTGAAATACAATTCAGAGTGGGGCCTATAAGGGGTGTCCCTCAAATAAGCTTATTTGAGGGATCCCTCAATGGAAGCTCTCTAACTAAGTGTATATATATATATATATATATGAATTGTCCAATAGTTATAAACCAAAATCAATCTGCATAAAGTTAGCATCAAATAGCCAACTTTTCAACCAGGAATCAACGTGGGCCAACCTTGGCCTTATCTTTCTTCCAAATGATCTTTTATGGTCTTTCCTATTGTTTAAAATTCCTAAGTATGCCCACAACGTGGACCAATCGGCTGGAGTTTTAAGAGCTGTGGCCATCCTCTAGAAAATGAAATATTTTGTTTTGTTGATCAAATTATATATGCATTGCATCCATGTCATACGGAAAAACGAAGGGAATCTTCTTCCTTACATATTACACAAATTGACTTAACTCGGCACGACTTCACTCAGCATTCACATGAGATATTTAGAGGGGAGAGAGTTTGTTAGGTTGGAAAGTCAAGGATATCGGCTCATCAAAACTAAAAAAATAAACTCCCAAACCTTCCTGCTTCTAAGCGCATTTTGACACATCACCAAGGCTAAAGAAGCAAACACCAAAACTCAACATCAATAACATAGCACAAACGTTGGTCTCTCACTCTCTGTGATGCATGTATTGTCTATGGATAACCAGTCTAGCTAGCTCTCCAAAATTTGAAAATGCACCCTAATAACTTGGGATGGGACTTTGTTGAAAACTTTACAAAATAATTCAAATTATTATTGACAGGATTCATCCCGAATTTTTTTTGGAATCCGCGATGAACCTTGTGTCTATCCGACAACTTGCAGGTGTTGGTCTAAATTACAAAAATGTCATTCTTGTCATAATTCCAAAACAACCTTAGGGTTGGACTTCTACCCAGAAAAAAGGGCGAAGTCTCCTTTTAAAATGGATCTAAACCTAAAATCGACTTGTACAGAAAACACAATTTACTCCGCAATCATTCAACAAGCATAAGATATAGTCAACTACACCCTAGCAACAATTCTAATGGTCTTCAGGCCCTTTTTTCACAACCATAACCAATAATCGATCCAAAGTGGGTTTCAGACCCTTAATCCAAAATACCACATGATCAAATCACAACAATTATTCTCAATGTAAAAGAACATAACGTAAAGTGTTTAACTTTGCAGCTGCACCTAGGTTACCTACATACTATTTTCGAAGAATCAAGCCACACATAATTCTTGAAAAGTTCCAAATTTACATATCTAACAAGAACAACACCAAGAATAACTTATAATTCCAAGGTAACCAAATGCAAATAAAGACCCAGTGAACCAATAATAACTCAATGATCATGGTGGTTCTCGAAAATAATGACTTTTCTAAAAAGTCGAAAATGAAGCTCAAAGATTCTGAAATTTCAATTTTGCCCATTGTACTTTGGAAAACCACGGAAATGCCCCCTTTAGATATAATCCCTAAAGAAATTTTGTTTTCTGAAAGTCATTCAAACGCCGCACCCTCCACAAATGTTGTTCCGTATGGAAATATGAATATGGCTGGCGTGCTGTTGGTTTTCGACACCAGCTTCACGTTCTGGGACTTATAGACAGCCAGCCCAAAGCTAGATCTTTAGCGCTCTCCTATGGCTGATGATAATTGCCTGGTACATTGAACACAACAACCACAGCATCATGGTGGTTTCAGCTGCCACAATGAGGTGACGAATTTGATATGGAATTAAATTCATGGCAATTTGAATCTGACAATGCTGTTGAATTTTACTTGATTCTGTGTTTAGCAATGGCGTAAAAATTTTGGGATTTTAATGGTTTGCAGATATCATCTGAGAGACTCGGGGGTTCTTCATCACTGTTCACAGTAATGCAGATTCAATATTAATGTGTAAGTTCTGCAATCACTCAATCTTGATGGAAAAAGTTGTATTCAGTTTCAAATGATTAATCTTATGATGGATATTCTTACATTTATGAATATAGTAAGCAATGAAATTATGGATGTAGGGTCTAGATTTCTTATTTTGGGCATGAATTCTTTTTTCAATGAAAAGCTATATGATATCAGAGAGGCAAAGAACCTTTTTTTCATTATAGAAAATGTGCTTTGTCCCCCTTTCCAAATAGGCTATATATATTCCCTAGTATTTGCTAACATTGGCTTCTGTCACGGCCTTGTGAGCTGACAGGAAAGGGGTTTTCCCAAATTGTCTCGAAAGTTTTCCTTTCTTTTTTGGGTAATAGAATATGGGGTCACACAAGCAAGTACTTGTGTTCGTGAATGTTTGGGTTTGAGACGTAAACAAAAGTGTCTGTACTCTGTACTAAACTAAAGAGGATTTGGGTGTCGGGCATGCATTTGTCTTTTGGAATATTAGATATTCTACTTTCCAAAAGTAACGAGGCAAATGATAAAATATGGCGATTTGGAACATTTGTGTGGCATATTGATAAGCAGTTGTATTTAGTATGTACAGATTATGCTGCAAGATTCATACGAATCAGTAACTTTAATCTGGTTTTATACCAGTGTAAAACCATGGCATTTTTCCAGATTCTGCAAAAAATAGACTCGATATGCTATAGGAGGGTTCAATTTAGTGAGCTAGAGGCACCATTCAACTTCATCCCATCTCTGAAATAGACTCAATATGCTATAGGAATGGGGATTTCTGGGTTTTAGAAACGAGCAGGGGAATATGCTAAAGGAAGGTTTCAGTTAACAACAATGTATGGTTGATATATGAGCAGTCAAATATAGGAAGTCTTGCAACTTGTTCTAAGAGGATGAATCTGGTTGCTACCCTTCTAACCTAGGAAATATGCTTGGTGTTGTAAGAAATTCCATCAGGGAAGGAACTTGTTACCTTGTAGCTTAATCTGTTTTCACAAATAGATACATATTAGTGATTTGCATGCCATACATACATGCAACTATAGCATGGAATAAAAAGATGATGCAAAGATTCAACAGTACCAGCACTATATTCCTATAGAATTGGATCTAATGTTGTAGTCATAGAAACACATGACGGTAACATTTGTGCTTAGAACCAGTTTGTAAGGACAATTTCAGGTGATAATGGAAACAATCTTACAGGGCAACATATATATAGAGGATTGATTATCATGCTGAGAAAACAGATCTAAACTTGTATCGTGTTATCATTATAATACATATGTGTGAATTATACATCCATATTCGAATGCAGAATTCAATAACACCCAAGGACTTCATGAATCAAGCAGCCAATGACTATATATAAGGTACATGCACTAGTTTGGGACTTATCATGCTTCCTAAAATTTATAGTAAATCTTGGTTCTCACTGAAATTTATAATGCATTCTCAGTTACTAAACAGAGTGCAATTGTGCAAGTGGTGGGTCATCAGTTTAAATCAAGGCAGCATTCATATCAGGATCAGCCAATCCTAAAACGACGTCCAAACATAAACAAGAATGCATATCCCTTGCAGGAAGTACAGATGCAAAAGGAATGCATGAAGTCACGGCTCAAAACTGAGCTCCTAACATATACCGCAAGTGTATATCGAATCGTTCTAATGCCACAAACACGGTAAGAAATCTGAAATTAACAAACCAGATTAAAACCAGGACAATTGTAGTCTTCAAAGAAAAAAGAAAGAAAACAGGATAAATGTGTAATGCTCAGTCTGTGCCAGAGGAGACTCCACTTCCATCACCCCCTTCTTCTTCTTCTTCTTGTCTTCAGCTGCAGCATCCATCATAGACCGGTCTGTAACCTCACCAACGTGAAGAACTAGTCCAACAGAGTTAGGCTCCACGGCTGTTGAAGGTCTGTCCTCGGTCTCAGGCACAATGCCAGCCTCATCCTGAAGCAAGATTGAAACATAGGTATTCATCTTTCAACAACAAAATAGATCACATACATAAGAATTTCATACAATTAATCTTAACTACGTTTATTTTACGAAGGAAACAGTCTCTTTACTATACATAGAGAATTACAAAGACCGTGTACAACACACCAACTAGTACTCCAAAGATAGAAATCATGCTTTTGGCCACAGTTTACTCAATGCTATGTTACATCCTGTCAAGCTCTGTTACTCGATGCTAAAACATATATATAAACGTAATTATTGACTAAGCATGTACGTTTATCCAGACAAATTTTTCTTATTACCCAAGTAAACTAAAATTAACAAAGTTCTTACAGAATAAATATTTTACAAAAAAAACAAAAAAAGGCTTGCTGTAAAAGTAAAACTCGAAATTATTTATGAAGCTGTCAATTAGGCCTCTAATACGAGGTACCGGAATGTTACCGTGGGCAGTAGCCTGGCCGGGCCTCCAGCCCCGTGCCGGAGTGGGAAAAACCTCAGGTGGTGCTGGAGGCATGGAGAAACTCAAAGGGCTTGTGCCTAATCCCATATCCTCCATTACCTTGAGCACCTGGAATGGCAGAGTAAGGTAATTCCACATCTTGACGGACTCCAAGTGATCGACCCGGGATGCAGGGCTCACCTTTTCGAGGTATTCTTGAGCTTGTTTCTCCTTTCCTGCTTTGTGCAGGTAGCAATGCACAATTTTGATGAAGCGTTTTTTGCTGGCCACCCGAACTTGCGCCACGCAGTCCTTGAGAAGAGCAGAGTCAACTGGACTGGGGTTAATCTGATCGGCTGAATCGCTTTTATCGACAGCAATTTTTTCTGCAATAGCCTTCTCCAGGCAAGAGTGTGAGAAGCACTTTTCCAGTATGAAAAGCATTTCTTCTTTGTTCAGGAGAAACAGTTCCGGGATCAGATCGAGTTCTTTGAAGTGAGATTCCATTAGGCTTGCAAGAACATAAGCGTCTGGTATGAGAGGGGTCGACATCACTGTTGAATTCTTGGGTTTTTTGATTTTGGAGAAGAAAGGCTATGGTGGTGGGGTTTGAAGAAGGCACACGCTGAGGCTTTGTATTTGTAGAAGGAGTCGTATTATTATAATTTTTTAACAAAATTTCAGAGCCTTTTTGAGAATCAACTTTGATCCCTGTCCTCATCAAAGAGAAAGAGACATTTCTGGGCCTACCTCTGTTCAAATAAATAACTTAATTTTTTTGAATTTTTTTATTTAAAATGATTTTGGCATTTGATATAGTATAATTCACTAGCCAGAAATGGTTCAATCAAATTGTTATATGTAGCTTTGTCGGAGAAGAAAGAGAACTCAAACAATAATAATACATATGATCATCTTCTTGGACAGAAAAAAAAAAAAAAGAAAAAAAAAAAAGGGTAATTTTCATTTTACTACTCTGAAATTTACCAAGTTTCAATCTTTCATACACGAAATTATTTTCATCCAAGTCTCTTACCTAATGTTTATTTTTGCCTCAATCTCATACCTAATGTTCATTTTCGTTAACACCTTCATATATCCATTGGTGCTTTTGCTATATCCTCTGTTAAAACGCTAATGTGGCAATCAATGATTCCACATGGACCATACATATTGCGCCATGTGGACTGAAAAAATAAAAAGGAAGTAAATAATCTAATTAAAATATAAAAAAGTAAAAGACAAAGATTTATTTCAAAAATAAAAGATGGACAAACTATAAAAGACTCCAAAATCATAGGGTCATTTTCAAGTTCATATCCACTTTTGGGGGCATTTATAAGTACATTCTCTAACTCATGAAAAACCTACAATTTTAAGGTAGATTTTATTTTTCCAAAGCAAAATTAAATGTTTTGAAGAGACTAAGTCAATTTATCAGTCTTGAAGAAAAACAAAGATGTTGCAGTTTTGATAATTAAGTTTGACAAGAGTGTTAGAGAGAATTTTAATGATATGACTGATCTATTTTAGCATTTCATAGTTGTTAAAAACACTATCGAATATGATAATGATGAATTGTATTATTCAACACTCCGTAAATTACACAAATTAAAATAATAATAAAATTGCTCCAATAGACAATGTAATTTGTGCTATAAATAAAGAGACAAAATCATATGTTGCTGATGATTTCCAGATTGAGCAGAAATATGGCATCTAGCATGCTTCGGGATACTTTTATTGTACGAAGAAAACAAAAATGGAATTCCAATTACTGCCACGTGCCCAGGGCAGATGGGGTGCTGTAATAAGGCTCGTGCGCCTAAAGCACCAAGCTGAACCGTCCCGATACCGCCACGTCGCCCAGGTAGAGTGGGTGACTATACATTCTTGCAAACGCGAACTCCAGACCGCCAAACACAACTTGCACGATGCACGTGCCCTCCATCCAACGTTTGATGGATGATTTCTCAAGCGCGCGCAACCGTTAAAATGCCAGCGGGTCCCGCTGGTACCAGTGCGCTGCCCGTTCACACCAAAAGCCAGAAAAAGATTCGATAAGGCAAGCAGTCTTTTATTTATAGATATGTAAACGAATATCAAAATGATCATAGATGATATAATTCACTTGTATTTTTGACATTTTTAAATAATAATAAAAAGTGTTTTACTTATATTTATATCTGATCCAACTAAACATGAAACAATGAAACAATCCCTCTCCGCCGTATACAGCAGCGTACAACGTCGTCTGTGGTCCCCTGAAGCTGAAAGCAGCATTTGGCGCCACGATAGCAGGTGAGGCTCGACTGGTTGGGGTTTCGGTTCCAGCCCCTCCAATGCTACTACTGCTTTCTTCAACTTCTGCAGCTAGGATCGTTGGCAAACGGACTTCTCTTAGGTGGTGGAGGAGTAAATTGGCAGAAGAAAGTCTGAGAAGAGAAGCCATGGCCATTGCTGCTATAGCTAGCTAGCGCAGAGAGAGAGAGAGAGAGAGAGGCAGACGATATGTGGTTGCGGTGAAGAAGATGATGGAGCTTTTTTTAATATACAGAGCAAGGTGGGTCCCACTGGGCCCCGGTCTCATCTGTAGGAAAAGTCAAGGATTGTATGTAGCCGACCAATTGCTTTCCTTAGTATCGTTAACTCACTGATTGGAAACCACGTGAGGATGGGAGAAATTGGTTTTGGAAACCACTAATCTGCAACCATTAGTATTAGATGATGTAAAATAAATAGCAATTCCATCATAAAGTTAATGTAATTACCTAATTTTTATTAGTGTGTGTTACGATTGCAGCACTTGTACATTTCTGCAGCTGATGGGGGTTGGGTTAAGTGAAAAAAAGTATTGACTTACAAATTGGAGGTTTTATATTTGAATACCTACGGATTAGGACATTATAATTGTATGTGTGTGAGAAATTATCATCTCTTATATTTTAGACTATCATTTATATTAAAATAAAATAAAAAACTTGAATGACTGCTGGAGAAACAAATTATGTTCCGCCACCCTTGTCTCAAAGGTTGACCACAAACTTATTAATCATTTTTCTAGAACATGATGAGGATCCCCAGTACCAAACCTCAAGTAGCATTTGACGTGGCCATTTGGTTCTAGCACTTTTCGAAGAAGATGAAGCCGAAGCCGACGCATGAGAAAGTAAGTCACCCACAATCAAGTCAAAAATGGTTCAAAAAACTCAATTTCAAATGGGGAGAAAAAAAGAGAGAGAAATAGTTTGATACGATGGTAAGCTGTAAGATGTGTCAGATTGTATCCCAAGCATATTCTTTTTTCTTTTGTTGTAAAAAAAATTGCAGCAGTTGAATTTTTTTTTTTTTTTGTGTGGAGAGAATAGCGGTAGGATTTTATTGATAGGAAAAACATAACTAGTATAAAAAACCGGGAATTTTTTTTTTGGCTTCTCCTTGAATGAAATAAAAGTGATGAAAGAAAAGAAAATGCATATATGCAATCTGTAGATTCTCTACAAAAGTGATGCTCTTATATTCTCTTAATTATTTCTATAACCTGAATATGCGCTTGATTTGGCCTGGCTTTATAATAGTAGACGACAAATATTTGTTATAATAAATAAATAGATTAAAACAAAAGGGTTATCATCTTTTCTTTAATATTTCCAAAATTGGACCCACACTAATACAGATAAAAATATAGGATTAGCTAGTTGTAGGGTTGGCGACAATGCTGATTAGTTGTCAATAAAATAGCAACCAAAATGCATGGTGATTGACAAGGCAAAGATTCTTCTCCTACCATCACCGCCATTGTAAGTGTCAAATTAAAGACATGCTCTCTAAGTGTGGGATTTCTATTCTTCTTCCTTCTTTATTTGCCACTTATTATTTAAAAATAATTAAGCGCCATGGTTGATTTAATTAAAAGTCCAAATGTTTTTATTTATTTATAATTTTCTTTAACATGTTTATTTATTTCTAATTTCAAATTGTAAGAGTACAACTTGCTTGCTAGTGCCTCTCACATGGAGCTTTGCCCCCTTTATCATCTTTAAACATTCCTAATATCTTTGATCTTTCTTCATCATACCCTTTTTTAGTGTTTTATTATTGTTATTATATCAGGATAAATTAAATTATTAATTTAAGTCTCGGCCCCCACCATCTCTCCAAGGTTGACCGCCGCAAACTTAGAAATGTATCCCAAAGAGGGACACCCTTCTCTACAATGATTTTAGTTTTTTTTTTTTTTTTGCTTTTGTTTTTTAATAAAACAATACTCGCGTCCTCACTAATTAATGAGTATACCAGTGACCAAGAGTTCAGATCTCCTGGCTCCAATTCTCTGTCCTCTCTTCTATGTCTTCTAGCTAATTTGTTTACACCTGAAAAACAGAACGTCTAAATAAAAACACAAACCCATTATAATTTGTATGCATGTTGTGTCCAAATTAGGCCTAAAATTTACTACTGTAGTGTCCCTGAGTTTAGTAAACATGTATCATGTCATCATTATAATACAGATGTGTGAATTATACATCCATATTCGAATGCAGAGTTCAATAACACCCATGGACTTTATGAATCAAGCAGCCGATGACTATATATAAGGTACATGCAGTAGTTTGGGGCTTATCATGCTTCCTAAAATTTATAGGGAGATATTCCTATCTTAAATCAAAGATAACTATCATAATTAAAGATAATTTTCTTAATTAAATAGAAATAGAATTTAATTAGGATAATTAGTTGATCTAAAGAATATTCATTTTTCCCGTGTCATCTTCTTATTGGCCCACGAAATATATGTTCTCACAACGACAACATAGGTTAGGCTAACGGTGAAATCATTTGTTGATTATTAATTTAGTTCAAGGGATGAAAGAGGGAGAGATGATAATCTATAATTTGAATGAGGAAGAGGAAGAGGAAGATGAGGAGGAGGATGGAACGTTTGTATTGGAAGTTTGAAGGACGATATGTATATATATATATATATATATAAACTTTCTACCAACTAATGTACTATTCTATCTATAATTTCTCCCTTTTATGTGCGATTGCGCGCCTAGCGGTCGCATGACGTCTTTTCCTATCATAAAGATAGTAAGATATCCAACCCCAACATGCCAAATTTTGCTGCAAATTTGTGTTAATTACCTTCAGTTCATTATTTGCGGGACGTCCCTCATCCTTTCTTCTTTCTTTTTATTTGTTGTTGAATTGTTCCTATGTGAAATGATCATGAGGGCATCCATCAAATTGAGATGGACGGGAGAGAATGAGGGTTGAGGTAGGTAGGTAGCTACGAGGGAAAGTCAAGGATAGCGGCTAATAAAAATTAACAATTAACAATAAAAAGTGCAATCCCAATCATCAAATACATCTAAAGAAATTCTTCCAGCAACCATCCTCACATATTTATTTTCTTCTGATATGTAGTTGGTGTTAAATTGGCTAATTATTTTGTCGTGGACCTTCACTATGGTTGAAGAGAGGGCGATCCGCTAGAAAATGAAATGGAATGTTTTGTTTTGTTGATCAAATTCAATATGCATTGCATCCATGTCAAACAGAAAAGCGAAGGGAATCTTCTTCTTTTTCTCACCTATTACACAAATCAACTTGACTCGGCACAAATCGACTTGACTCAGCATTTAAATGAGATATCTAGAGGGAGAGAGAGTTTGTTAGGTTGGAAAGTGAAGGATATCGGCTTGTCAAAACTGAAAAAAATAAAAATAAAAATAAAAAAACTCCCAAACGTTCTTGCTTCTAAGCGCATTGTGACACATCACCAACGCTGAAGAAGCGAACACCAAAGCTCAACATCAATAACATAGCACAAACGTTGGTCTCTCACTCTCTGTGATGCATGCATTGTCTATGGAAAACCAGTCTAGCTAGCTCTTCAAAATTTGAAAATGCGCCCTAATAACTTGGGATGGGACTTTGTTGAAAATTTTACAAAATAATTCAAATTATTATTGATAGGATTCATCCTGAATTTTTCTTTGGAATCCGCAATGAACCTTACAAATTGTAGGTGTTGGTTTAAATTACTAAAATGTCATTCTTGTCATAATTCCAAAACAACCTTAGGGTAAGGTTGGACTTCTACACGAAAAAAGGGCAAGTCTCCTTTTAAAATGGCTCTAAACCCAAAATCCGCCTACACAGAGAATACAATTTACTCCCCAATCGTTCAGCAAGCATAAGATATAAGTCAACTACACCCTAGCGACAATTATAATGGTCTTCAGGCCCCTTTTTCACAATCATAACCAATAATCGATCCAAAATGGGTCTTAGACCCTCAATCCAGAATACCACATAATCAAATCACAGCAACTATTCTTAATGTAAAAGAACATAACGTAAAGTGTTTAACTTTGTAGCTGCACCTAGGTTGCCTCCATACTATTCTCGAAGGATGAAGCCAAACATAGTTCTTGAAAAGTTCCAAATTTACATATCCGACAAGAACAACACCAAGAATCACTTATAATGCAAAAAAACACCCAGTGTACCAATAATAACTCAATGATCAGGGACGTTGTTCTCGAAAGTAATGACTTTTCTTAAAAAGTCGAAAATGAAGCTCAGAGATTCTGAAATTTCAATTTTGCCAATTGTACTTTGGAAAACCACGGAAATGCCCCGTTTAGATATAATCCCTAAAGAAATGTTGTATCATGCTGGGAAAACAGAACTAAACATGTATCATATCATCATTATAATACAGATGTGTGAATTATACATCCGTATTCGAATGCAGAATTCAATGACACCCACGGACTTCATGAATCAAGCAGCCGATGACTATATATAAGGTACATGCAGTAGTTTGGGGCTTATCATGCTTCCTAGAATTTATAGTGAATCTTGGTTCTCACTGAAATTTATAATGAGTAGCATTCATAACAGACTGCAATTGTGCAAGTGGCGGGTAGTCAGTTTATATCAAAGCAGCATTCATAACAGGATCAACCAATGTTAAAAAGATGTCCAAACATAATCAAGGATGCATATCCCGTGCAGCAACCACATATGCAAAAGGATTGCATCAAGTCATGGCTCATAACCAGGATGATTGTAGTCTTCAAAGTAAAAAGAAAGAAAACAGGATAACTGGGTGATGCTTGGTCTGTATCAGAGGAGACTCCACTTCCATCACCCCCTTCTTCTTCTTGTGTTCAGCTGCAGCATCCATCATAGACCGGTCTGCAACCTCACCAACGTGAAGAACTAGTCCAACAGGGTTAGGCTCCACGGCTGTTGAAGGGCTGTCCTCGGTCTCAGGAACAATGCCAGCCTCATCCTGAAGCAATTTTGAAACATAGGTATTCATTTTTCAACAACAAAATAGATCACAAACGTAAGAATTTCATTCAGCACAATTGATCCACCTCTATTTTACAAAATAAACAGTCTCTTTACTATATATAAAGAATTACAAAGAGCGGGCACTCCACATCATAACTCCAAAGATAGAAATCAAGCTTTTGGCCACAGTTTACTCAATGCTCTGTTACTCGATGCTAAAATATATATATAAACGTAATTATTGACTAAGCATGTACATTTATACAGACAAATTCTTCTCATTACCCAAGTAAACCCAAATCAACAAAGTTCTTACGGTAAAAGTAAACCCCCAATATTTTACAAAAAACAGAAAAAAAGTCTTGCTGTAAAAGTAAAACTCCAAATTTATTCACCAAGCTGTCAATTAAGCCTCTAAAGCAAGGTCACGGAACGTTACCGTCGGCCATAGCCTGGCCGGGCCTCCAGTCCGGTGCCGGAGTGGGAAAAACCTCAGGTGGTGCTGGAGGCATGAAGAAACCGGAAGGATTTGTGCCTAATCCCATATCTTCCATTACCTTGAACACCTGGAATGGCAGAGTAAGGTAATTCCACATCTTGATGGATTCCAAGTGTTGGACCCGAGATGCAGGGCTCACCTTTTGCAGGTACTCTTCAGCTTGTTTCTCCTTGCCAGCTTCAAGCAGGTAGCAATGCACAATTTTGATGAAGTTTTTGTTGCTGGACACCAGAACCTGCGCCACGCAGTCCTTGAGAGCAGAGTCAACCGGACAGGGGTTAATCCGGTGGGCTGAATGGCTTTTATCGACAGCAATTTGTTCTGCAAGCCCCTCTTTCAGGAAAGTGAGTGAGAAGTACTTTTGCAGTATGGGAAGCATTTGTTCTTTGTTGAGGAGAAGCTGTTCTGGGATCAGATCGAGGTCTTTGAAGTGAAGTTCCATTATGCTTGCAAAAACAGAAGCGTCTGGATTCGGAGAGGTTGACATCACTATTGAATTTTTGTTGGGTTAGGATTTTGGGGTTTTGGAGAAGGCGGGCGTTGGTGGTGCTTTGTGTTTATAGAAAGAGTCGTACTGTTGTAATTTTTTTTCAGCTTTTGGAGAATCAACGTTGGTCTCTGTCCTGAATCATGATCAAAGAGAAAAGAAGAAACATGTCTGGGCCCAGCTCTGCTCTCCCTCCCTCAAGTCCTCCGATGTGTCTTTTATTCTAGTTCTAGAAAGAAAACAAAGATGGAATTCCAGGTCAGGATTTTAGTTGAAGCACTTTCATGTCTTAACTTTTAGAAAATCATGTCCCTTATCCGATGCAACCAAATACACAGAGACAGAGATGTTGGGCATCGGATCTAAATTTCTCCAATTTGAATGATCAGAAACTTCCCCAAACAAATTATGGGCTGTTCAGGCAAACACTGTCGCTTATGTGGCAGTTTTATGCGAGTGCTTTCAAAATGGAAAAGGGGACACTTCGCAAGTATAAATAGAATTTGAGAAGAAGAAAAAATATTCGTTATTGAACGTGCCTAAATTAAATATTAATATTCAATTCTTTAATGTTGGAAATTGCGATGGGTCATGCGACTCGCGAGCCAAGCCTTGTCTGCATCCAAACGTGTACGTGTGCTCCATCCAACTTTGATGGATGATTTATCAAGGGCGCGCCACCGTTAAAATGGTGCGGGTCCCGCTCAGTCCCCCCGTTCACATCAAAATCAACCATGAAACAATAACATAAGCATTAATTTGATTGATTAGAGTGCGGAAAGGCCATAAAATTTGCCCATTCAAACTGGACCCAACCGTCTTATTCTTCCCAGCAGACAACAGCTTTAATAGGAACCAACCAACCAAATCCAAGCAAATGATACATAATGTATCTGCATATCTGGCAATCAAATTCAGGTCAGCATCCATGCTATGCTAGCAACTATTTGTCAAAGTCATCATGATATGGTGTGATGATGATGATAAGATTCATAAATCTAGTATAACTTTAGACTGGCAAAAGTACATAAGCAAATTCAACAAGAAGGCGATAGGGCTGTCGAGCCTAGTAGTAAGGAGCCTAGTATAACTAGGACATTACAAATTACAATACATATATGGATGGAAACAAACCCTCACTCTCTTCAAACAAACCCAGCAAAACCAAAGCAACAAAACAAACGCACAAGTTTCACACACAAAAAGCCTTCCACTATAAATGAAACAATCCAAAGGGACTTTTCGGAGGAGTGATTCAGAATGATGAGTCAGAATCAGAGGACACGCCCTCCTCCTCTGCTTCATCAATAGGCGCCTTGTCCCGAGCCAGGGCTTTAGCCTCATCGATCCGAAGAACCCCGACGCCGTGGCTGGGCTTCTTCTTCGGCAGATCATAGGGACAACATGGGTCGTCCTCGTCCACACCACCAACAGCCACCGCTTTACGCTTCGCCACGTTGCTCTGCTTCTCATAACCAACACCATAATTGCGACCATCCGACTGAAAACAATGAAAACAGATATTCAATGCAATCAAGTTGAAGTTACCCATCTACAAATTACTAAATAGTACCATAGTTTCATTGTTGCCGTTAAAATTGGCATCGGTGCCGGCGGCGGCAGCAATGACATGACAATGAATATGAGCATGGTTGAGGGAGGCCGTCCAGCCTTGTTGTGGAATGGGAAGCAGCTGCTGCGGCGGCGGGAATTGAACATCATCGGATTCGGAGCCGATTGGGGCCTCAACAAGCCCTTTCGCAACGAGCGTCTTCAGAATTTCGGCTCTCAGGGTGAGAATATTCCAGATACGAATCGAGTCCAGGTTTCCGATTTCGGCTTCACTTTTGCCGCTCAGAATCTTCCTGTACTCCGCCACCTCATCATCACTCCAGTACTCGCCCAGGTACCACACCACGTAATCAGTGAACCGGGAGATGTTCTGTCTCTCGATTTCTCCGACGAACTCCGTCGCCGGAGCCGTCGCATCCGGGGGCGAGACATTGAGATCAGGGATATAATTGGGTCCCCTGTTTGGTGCGGGGTCCACAAAATTCTGGTCACCACCCTCAGCCGGAACCAGAAAACAGAAATCCACCACTTGCCGGCGGCTGCTGCTATGGCGTAAGGCCATGTTCAATGAATTCATCAGGTCATGAGAATATAGTTTAATGAATTCATGAAAGCAAAGCATTACTACCAAGTACCAACTTCCGTATGCAATCTCTAGATGTTGTCGTCTTCTTTAAGCTTTCGTCCATGGTAATGATGTCTTCAATCCACCACCAGTGTAATTGAGCATCATCACCATGGTTGATTTGCCAAAAAAGAGAGAGTACAACTTTGCTATAAAGTCCAAATGTTTTTTCACAACTTTAGTTTATCATCTTTAAACATTCCTAATTAATGAGTATACTACCATACCAGTCCACTCAAATTGGACTGCCTGCTTATTTTTGCTCTTTTTGGCTCAAAACCCCTCCAAAACAAATCCCTTTTTGGCCATTTGTCAAACGTAGACTACCACTGATGATAATTATTTCTTGTTTTCATCGTTTGAAATACCATAATTAATATTACTAATTAAAATATAGTGTATAAAATTATCATAGATATCATCATATCCCTAATTCACAATATCTATTGCATTTATAAATAGAAAATCACAAGACAGACTTGGCTTTAGTTTCTCCTTCGGAAAGGATTTCTCCATAATATTCATCAACAATACTTATCAAGTGGCTAACTAGGACTTTGCTGATCTTATTACTACGTATATTCCATTATAATGTGACCCAATTTTATGTGTGATTTTTTTTAGTCTCATTACCTTGTATATATACCTAAAATTGTCTACAGAATAAATTAATTTGTTGGGGCTTGAATCTTAAAGAATTAAGCACCGTGGTTGGTTAATTTAGGAGACATTGAGATGGAGGAGAGAGACTAGGCATCACTCAATGCAGATTGCGTATAGGACAAACATTGATAGATATTTTTGGACATGCGTTTGATAGGATCTCAAGGGTGTTTTAGTCTTTTTGTAATCTAAGCCAATTTTAGGAGATTGGTCCGTATTAGTCAAACGTTGAATTGTATTGTGTTTTGAGTTGAGGTTGAACCGGGTTCTATTAGTGTTTTACTATTATATTATAAATTTATAATTAAGGCGGCTTAAACTTTGTTTGCACCACCAATAATAATAATAATAATAATAATAGGAAAATTTCCCATTCATATTGGACGCAACCGTTTCTCACTCTTTTTTACTGCCAACAGCTCTAATCTAACAGCGATGATAATTGCCAGCCAAGCAAAGGATTGGGTTAAAACTTCATCCAAATCAACCCAAAGCAACTCTAACAACCAAACAAAGCTATAATCAGGAGAACGATTGTATACGTAATCATCCATCTCACCTAAGATTTTCTCCTGCATTCATTCAGATTCAGGCCAGCAGCAAATTTATGAAATTCCTAAAATCATAAATACAGAAATTCCACATGGAATTCCAAACTTGCAGCAAAAGCAGAGCAAGTTATTCACACAAAAACATTCTAGTTTAAAATAAATAAAACATTAAAGTACAAAAAGGAGATCTCGGTATTGGCGAACAGTCTCAAGAGTCAGAGTCCCCTGCTTCAGGAATTTGGTGATTTCGCCTCATCCATACCAAAAACCCCACAGTACCGGGCCTTCTTGGCGCCCTTCCTGCCTTTTTCAGGAATTGGAAGCAGCTCCTGCGGCGGCGGGAACTTAAGGTCGTCGAAACGCATTGGGGTCTCCACGAGGCCTTTCGCTATGAGCGCGTTCTGAATTTCGGCTTCCAGGGTGAGAATATTCCAGATCCGAATCGAATCCAGGTTTCCCATTTCGGCTTCGCTTTTGGTACTCAGAATCTTCCTGTACTCCGCCACCTTCTCCTCACTCCCGTGCTCGCCCAGGTACCGAACCACATAATCAGTCAGCCGGGAGATGTTCTGGCTCTTGATTACTCTGACGAACTCCTTCGCCGGCGCCGTCTCATCAGGCGGCGAGACATTGAGATCTGGGATGTAATTGGGTGCTCCACCTTCGCCGGTAGCGACTCCGTTTTCTAGAAAACAGAATTGGTGGTGGCTGGTGCTGCTGTTTAAGGACAAATTCAGGCGGTATTGGATAATTGCAGCGGCGGCGTCTTCTCGAGTGCACCCAGTGACGAGAGGGATGCGAGTCAGGAAGACCCTTCCCGGGCACAAACTACTTCTTGTCCAGGTTCCGTCGACGGTTGCCGAGTAGAGTCTCGGTGGCCTGAGACCACCTATGTTCTGCACGGCTGGGATCGCAATCAGACGGATTTCTTCAAGATGGAAATGGACAAAATTGGCACGAGAGTTGGGGCTCATTTTGAAGGTTTTTGTTGAGAAAAGTGGAGAGTAAAGCTTAAGATGGTGAAGTGAGAGAGAGAGTTGAAGTTGAAGTTGATTTTTCAGTAGCTCTTGTTTTATAGGCAACAGCAGGTGGGGTGTGGTGCCAAGCTCCGTTGCTTAGCTACGGCTCCAAGCCTCCTCCATGCCTAGCTGGGCTTAGAAAAACGGTGGTCGGAAAAGTCAATGGTACGATTTTCTTTTCGCCGGCTTGTTTGCTTCTTTATTTATCTTCTAATTTTGCCCTTTTTCTGTTTTTCTTTTATAATTTTATGATATAAGGCCTCTGTTTAAATTTTGGACATTCCAGAACATAAATAATATAAGGCCTCTGTTTAATTTATGTCTTCATCTAGAAGGTCCACTAATTGCTTCACTGACTGCATGAATACATCATCTGATCTCCGTCACTGTCGTCCATGTGTATACATCGCACATCCCCTTTTTTTTTCCTTTCTAAGTTCGGGAAGAGCCCCACTTTCCATTATTACTCGTTGTCTAAATAATATTTAGTGTTATTTGAGGCATGTGGGTTTTACTGGCATAATCTTAAGGAGATGGTCAGCGTTCTAACAGGTTCTTTCTAGGTAAGACTTCGTAAATAGACCGACGACCAAATGCCCATTAGATGTAGAGGAATTCATCTAATCCCTTAAGTTTTTATACTTGTTTCAACCTATACATCAATAAAACACTATTGCCCTTGATTAAAAAGAAAAAAGAAAAAAAAAAGAGGTTACATATTCAAACAAGAAATTAAATCATAAAAATAAAAATAATGTAGTATATATGTCGGCTGACCAAGAGTGTTAAAATGGCTCATCAAATCCAAGACTCACGGCTGACCAAACTTAATTTGACTAGAACCTCGTCAGCAATTGGGTCTAAAGTTGAGTCAAATAACAAGAATTGTTTGATGAAGGTCAAATGAAATTCAATATATAATCCAATAACAAGAATTTAGTTGATACTATTTGTAAGATCATTAAATTAATTTAGTCACCAAAAATCATTTACATTTATTTACGCTCCAGAGATAAGATAAACTACGTACAACCAATAAATGGAAGTTTAATTCATTAATCTATTTGCTATAATTTCATAAATAGTTGTGCACCCAGCCCAGTGATTGGGTTGCGTCGTTTTAATCGAGTTAACTTTTTGTGATCAGGTTGAGTGGTTGGATTAAAATGAGTATTTCATTTGTGTTGTGTATATATAAAAGATGAATTAATATATAAAATAAACATGACATGCATTGGGTACAAATATTAAATTAATTGATTAAACTTGATTCAATAAAGTGTGGAAGGCCACCAATTATAATATCAGATTTTCCCGTTCAACCGTCTTGTTCTTGCTAACAAACAACCAAGCCTGATCGGATAATAAAATATACACAGAAAATAAGAGCGCGAGAGACTTGAAAATTTTGACTAGAGAAAGATTCCAAAGCTGTAATATTAAATTCATAATGCAAATTTTGGGTTTTGTCTGAATCTATATGGGGTTCTTGTTTTTTGGCTACGTCGCAATGTTTGAGCAACTGGGATTTTAATATTATAAAGTTGGTAATAATGCATAATGTTCGAGTTCAATGACATTTTAATTATTTTTCAAACACAAAGTATGATATACAAAATCTATTAGCTATAAGTTCTAAATTCATTTGGGATTTACCTAGTCATGGGTCTAAGCAGAAAGAGACACAGACAGAGATCACGTTGGGTCTTGGAATGTAGTTAGACACCCCAAACTCTAAACTAACATACAATATTGGGTTAGAAAACTTAAACCTCATTTTAAAACTGGGTTAGAAATAATTTGACAGAAGATGATGGAAAAGAGTAGTTTATATGCAGCTAGCTGCAAAGAAAAATTTGCATCGACATGGGACCACACATGGACACATCATCTCTCATATTGGCCTTATCCACCAAACCGTATATTTGAAGGGGTCAAGTTCAACTAAATGAATAAAAAGACGAAAGCTAATTACTTAAGTTTCCAATGACTAATTAGCATTAAGTTAGTTACTTAATTGATCATTTTCAGTGGGATTTGTTCAAAAGCGTCAAACAAATTGTCGGTCATCATGTGCGCTATACTGATTGTATTGTAATTTAGCCGTCATATGATACATAGTTTTGAGATTTTAATTTCAAAGTTGATACTGTAACTTAAAAAAATAAATACATCACTTAATTCCAATATCTGAAATTTTTTGTGTGCCCCATTTTTGTAGAGGACATGTAACTTAAAAGAATAAATATATCACATTTACCAGCATTCGAAAATTTTGTGTGAAAACTGAAAAAGAGGTACTGGAAAAAAAAAAAAAAAAACTTTACCACAATTTTTGTAGAGGGCATGTAGTGGAGAAGAAGAAGATACCATTGGATTGGATTGGATCCTGGAGGGCATGATTTGCAGCCAAATTTCTTAGAGCATCTCCACCCATAAGGGCTAAGTTTAGGACAAGGGCAAGCAAGGACTGCCACTATTCACATGAATAATATGATAAATTCATATTTTTTATATTAAAATAAAAATCAAATAATATGTATTACTTTTGCAGAACATAACTACCCATTTTATCTTTTATTAATTCTAAAAATAAAATTTATAAATAAATAAATAAAACCAATTGGCACATGCTTACGGGAGAGATTATAGAGTAGTACGGTACTACCACATCAGCATATGATACTCCCGTTCAAAATTTGTCATGTGTCCCATTTAAAAGAAAATTAAAAATACTTGTACAAAATATTAAAAATACTTGTACACTGGAGCAAAATCCATGTGAGTGGACCAAAAGTTGCAACAAAATTATGGCGTCAACGGTTGATTGTAGTACTTATTTCAAAAACACAACGAAAATCAAATAAAAAAGCTTGGTCGATAACACCACACTGCAGCGATCCCAGCGATAGCAAGATATATCCAAGAACAACAAAGGTCACCAAAAACCTACAAGAGAAAACACACAAATAAACAAACAAAAGACAAGATCCATATAGATCTTGGCAAGAAGACCCAAAATCCAAACAATTCTGGGGAGAGGAGGAGAGAGGAAGAAAACAAGGAAAGGAGAAAAAGTATTGTTACAACTCTCGCAAGTCAAATTACATCTAGAAGTTCCACAAATTGCTTGACTGACTGCATGATTACATCATCATCTCATCTCCATCACTGCCGTCCACGTGTATACAGCGCAAAAGCATTGAGGACATCACTCAATGCGTGTTAATATTATAAAGTTGGTAATAATGCATTATGTTCGAGTTCAATGACATTTTAATTATTTTTCAAACACAAAGTATGATATACAAAATCTATTAGCTATAAGTTCTAAATTCATTTGGGATTTACCTAGTCATGGGTCTAAGCAGACAGAGATCACATTGGGTCTTGGAATGTAGTTAGACACCCCAAACTCTAAACTAACATACAATATTGGGTTAGAAAACTTAAACCTCATTTTAAAACTGTGTTAGAAATAATTTGACAGAAGATTATGGAAAAGAGTAGTTTATATGCAGCTAGCTGCAAAGAAAAATTTGCACCGACCTGGGACCACACATGGACACATCATCTCTCATATTGCCATTATCCACCAAACCGTATATTTCCCTTATAGGGCCCACTATGGATTGTATTTTACTAATCCAAACCATCTATTTTGTAGATACACATTCAAAGATCATCTCTACAAAAAATCACTTGAATCCGATATCATTTGACCACTCAATTGAGTTATTGAAATTTTAGTAATTTCTTGAAGCACCACCGTGTTAATTGATTTTGTAGGACATAATTGGATGTTGAAACAGTTTCCAATGTTTCTAATTTTTTGTGATGATGATCTATGAATGAAGACCTAAAATAGATGGTTTGGATCATTGGAAAAAAAAAAAATTGTAGGGTACCCTAAAGGTCCCTCAAATAAAATTATTTGAGGGATTCCTCAATAGAAGGGGACTGTATATATATATATATATATATATATATTATTAATCGAGCATTTATTCAAAACATTGGGACTTTTAGAAAACATTTTAAAGAAATAAATATTTTCCCACCCAAGTGTACCCATTATATACATATAATTGTCAATTCCATGAACTTATATTTAATTCCCTTATTTTCGTCAATTCCTTATGTCACACTACGTGACACATCCTCGCAGGCCTCGATAACACAAATTCGACCCTATCCGTAATCCTTGCAGGATTCAGGGGACATTTAATTCACCTGATTCGCATTTCTCGCTCTGCACTGTCCGGATATCCCTAAAACTCATGGGGCACTGTCAAACGTGCTGACGTAACCAATGGCAACAATATTTTCCAAAGGCAACATCATAACCAAGGGAACATATATCCAAAGGCAACCTGGGTACCTATGGTGGGTTTTAAATAAAAACATTTACTGATAAATTATAAAACTGTTATCATCCATTCTTAAATCCTGTTGCCATTATTCTTCCTACTTTCCAAGCCACCCTCATTTTAAATATAACAGAAATTATATAAATAAAAATATTTGAATTTAAATACTTATGGTTGGAAAGCTATAATCATTAATACTTATCAAATAATAAATAATGAAATTTTAATTGCATAAAATCAGTTATAAAACAAAGCCCACTCACTGAGCGTCCGAGGTAGCTTGACCCTTTGAGGGTCCCTCCTGCGGGTCAGATGGTGCCCGAGTACCTATTTAAACCATTAAAAATATTTAATTAATAACATTGCTCAAAAAAGATTATTTAATCCAAAACTCTGACCCTCGGCTTCTAAAAGTGCATGCACTTGGTTTAAGACCATTCCTATGCCCACTTACACATTCCGGATGGTTAGAACGGTCTGAAAAGACCCGAGACTCGATAAACGATAAATTTCCATATTGCATTCACCTCCAATTATCAATCCAAGAGTTCCTATAGGTTCCACACCGTTTAATAGCTCTATCCTACAGGTTTGGTCCGAATCGGATGGTCGGATTAATCACGATCGCTCAAAAAAACGGTTATCGTTTAATTAAACTTCGAATCATTTAATCGGAATATCCGGGACTCCGATTCACGATCTGTGAAATCCTACACGATCTTAGGAGTGCCTAGATTAACATATATTAAATTGGAAGTGATCCAACAGTTCGAATGTATCGAACTCGAATAACACACAATAGGTGAAATCCGCTTGAGGTTCAAATGATATTCGAATTGTAATAATATATCATATTATCGTCATGCATGCTAAACATTTTTTTTTTAATCTTACATCCAATGAAATCCAAGTACAGGAAAAAGGATGGCTAGGACATGATTGAGAGCCGAAAACAAGCAAGAACGCACCAATGAGATGAGAGGGTTGAGAGCCGAAAACAACCAAAACAAAGTTCAAACCAACGAGCTTCGGGAAAAGATAAACAGAAAAGAAAATGTTAGTTTGATAAATGGACAACAGAAGAGATAGATTTGTGGGACATAATTTCATCCATAAGTACTTCTTGTGGCATTTTTTATGAAAAATATTTGTCTTCAAATATCATTAATTATGCTGAGAATAGTTAATTCCATGCATACAACAACTTAACTTCTTGTGGCTTAATCTTAATGCGGGCTTCATCAAACATATATGAACCTCCATATTGGAACTCATTAATTATATGGTACCCCTAACACATCATAATCTTAATGCATGCTCCCCTCAAAGATCATCTCTTCAAAAAATCACTTGAATATGAAACTATTTGACCACTCAATTAGATTACTGTTAATTATTATAGTCTTTTCTTGAAGCACTGCGTTCGTATATTTTGTCGATTACAATTAGATGCCTTAATGATTTTCAATGTGCATGATTTTTTATAAGGATAATCTATGAATGTAAATTTGAAAAATAGACAATTTGAATATTTAAATCAAAATTGATAGGGAATCCTAAAAGGTGTCCCTCAATGGATGGCCAAACTTAATTTGACTAGGCCATGGTGAGTATTACTATCACTCTAATTGCCGTTGGATGAGTGTATTTAATTACTTGTTATACAACTCTAAAAAATTTAACTCATCTAACGACCATTAATATGGTGGTAATGCTCACCACCAATTAAGAGTGGTGACAACCGAATAAAAAAAGTATATTAAAAAGCTAGAAAAAAAAAACAAATGTTATAAATAAAGCCACAAAATAGTAATTGAACTAAAACCTTAGTATTCACCGTAAAATAGAATTATGTTTAAAATAAATAAATAAACCTAGTTTGTAGAGACGTATGGTGTTAGATTTTCCATGAATATAAATTTAAGCACACGAGGACAAGATCATTGCAAATGTCTATCTATTACGCGTTAAACGCCATTTCAATATATGTATAAAGAATGATTATTTTATGAAGCTTCAAACATATATCCAATTTGGGTGATTTTTAAAATCAAAAAAACAAAAGTGATGCTCTTATATTTTCTATTTAGTGGTAAATTTACTGCTGTTAAAACAAAACGATTATCTTTGTATTACTCAGAATTCTGAGTGTCTTTTTCTTCATATGAGTAGCTTCATTTCATTTATTTATTTACAATAAGTAAGATAATGCTAATTAGTTGTTAACAGATACCAACCAGAATGCATGGTGGGACAGGTGATTGATAAGGCAAACATTCTTTTTCTAGTGATCAAATCGCCATTGTTGTGTTGACCAATTTCCACATATGTGGCCCTGCGTTGACCGGATTGGACTTTGAAGTGAGCTTTCATTTCTTCTTCACATGTTAGGAGATTTTGGGCTACGATCATGGGCCTTGTTGGGCCTGCTATGCGTTTTGGCCCTCCTTTGATGGGGTTAAAAGCTTTAATTTCTTCAATAAAGTGTGACGCCACCAATGAGAATACAGCGTACAGATGGTTTAGAATTTTAGAATTTTTTCTCTTTTATTTCATGTAGCAGAGCTTGTGCATCAAAACACGCACACACGCCATCTATTGATTTCTTCACCATTAAGCAAACGGGGTCAACAACTCACCGGATCGGCTAACACGTAGAATGACTTTTTGAAAAAGTCGAAACTGAAGGAAGCTGATTTCGATTTAGTGAAGATTTTGAAATTTCAATTTTGGCCATTGTACTTTCGAAAAATCACGAAAATGCCCCTTTATATATTATCCGTAAGAAATCTTATTTTTCGAAAATCATTCAAACGCCGCACCGTCCGCAAATGTTGCTCCATATGGAATTATGGATGTGGTTGGCTTGCTGTTGGTTTTCGACACCAGCTTCACGTTCTGGGAGTTGTAGACAGCCAGCACAAAGCAAGATCTTAGTGCTCCTATGGCTGATGATAATTGTCTGGGATTTTGAACCCAGCCACAATGAGGTGAAAATTTTGACATGAAATTCGTGAGTTTTAAATCCGACAATTCTGTTGACTTTCACTTGCTGTAACCCTCTTGCTTCTGTGTATAGCTTGAACTTTTTTGGTTTGCAGATATCTTCTGAGAGGCTCAGGGGTTCTTCATAACTGTTCACAGTAATGCAGATTCAATTAATGTGTAAGTTCTGCAATCACTCAATCTAGATGGAAAAAGTTGTATTACTTTCAAAAGATTAATCTTATGATGGATATTCTTACATTTATGAATATAGTAAGCAATGATTATGGATGTAGGGTCTGGATTTCTTATGTTTGGGCATGAATTTTTCTTTATTCGATGAAAAGCTGTATGATATCAGAGAGGCAAAGAACCTTTTCTTTTTCATTACAGAATATGTGTTATGTCCCCCTTTCCAAATAGGCTATATATATATATTCCCTAGTATTGGCTAACATTGGCTTCTGTCACTGCCTTGTGATCTGACAGGAAAAGGGTTTTCCCAAATTGTCTTTAGAGCTTTTCTATCTTTTTTGGGTAATAAAATATGGGGCCACAAGCAAGTACTTGTGTTCGTGAGTGTTTGGGTTTGAGACGTAAACAGAAGTGTCTGTACTAAACTACATAAGGAGGATTTGGGTGTGGGTGGGGCATGCATTTGGCTTTTGGAGTGGTAGATATTCTACTTTCCAAAAGTAACGAGGCAAATGATAGAACATTTTTTGTATTTAGTATGTACAGATTAAGCTGCAAGATTCATACCAATCAGTATCTTTAATCTGGTTTTATACCAGATAAACCAATACCATGGCATTTCTGCACCTTTCAACTTCATCCCTTCTCTGAAATAGACTCAATATGCTATAGGAAGGGGTTTTTTCAGGGTTTAAAAACGAGCAGGGGAATATGCTAAAGGAAGGTTTCAGTTAATAGCAATGCATGGTTGAGATATGCGCAGTCAAATATAGGGAATCTTGCAAGTTGTATTAAGAGGATGAATCTGGTTGCTGCCTTTCTAACCAAGGAAATATCCTTGGTGTTGTAAGAAATTCCATCAGGGAAGGAAATTGTTACCTTGTAGCTTAATCTGTTTTCACAGATAGATACATATTAGTGATTTGCATATACATCATGTCATACAGACAAAGCAACTATAGCATGGAAAGATTATCAGCACTAGATTCCTAAAGAATTGGATGTAATGTCATAGTAACACGTGACGGTAACATTTGTGCTTAGAACCAGTTTGTAAGGACAATTTCAATTCAGGAGATAATGGAAACAATCTTACTGGGCAATATATATATATATCATGTTGAGAAAACAGAATTAAACATGTATCATGTTATCATTATAATACAGATGTGTGAATTATACATCCATATTCGAATGCAGAATTCAATAACACCCAAGGACTTCATGAATCAAGCAGCCGATGACTATATTTAAGGTACATGCAGTAGTTTGGGCTTATCATGCTTCCTAGAATCTATAGTGAATCTGGGTTCTCACTGAAATTTTAATGCATTCTTAGGTACCAAACAGAGTGCAATTGTGCAAGTGGCGGGTGGTCAGTTTATATCATAGCAGCATTCATAACAGGATCAACCAATATTAAAAAGATGTCCAAACATAAACAAGGATGCATATCCCGAGCAGCAAGTACATATGCAAAAGGATTGGCTGAAGTCATGGCTCATAACCAAGCTCCTAATACATAATGCAAGTATATATCGAATCATTCTTATTCCGCAAGGGGAAAACCAGGATGATTGTAGTCTTCAAAGTAAAAAAAAAAGAAAACAGGATAACTGGGTGATGCTAAGTCTGTTCAGCTGCAGTATCTATAATAGACCAGTCCGTAACCTCACCAACGTGAAGAACTAGTCCAACAGGGTTAGGCTCCACGGCTGTTGAAGTGCTGTCCTCGGTCTCAGGAACAATGCCAGCCTCATCCTGATGCAAGATTGAAACATTGGTATTCATTTTTCAACAACAAAATAGACCACAAACGTAAGAATTTCATTCTACCTCTATTTTACAAAGTAAATAGTCTCTTTACTATATATAGAGAATTACAAAGAGCGGGCACTCCACATCATAACTCTCCAAAGATAGAAATCGTGCTTTTGGCCACAGTTTACTCAATGCTCTGTGATATCTATGTCATGCTCTGTTACTCGATGCTAAAACATATGCATAAACGTAATTATTGACTAAGCATGTAATGTACACATACAACATTCTTATCATTACCCAAGTAAACCCAAATCAACGAATTTCTTACAGAAAAAATATTTACCCAAAAAAGAAAAAAGAAAAAGAAAAAGGTTTGCTGTAAAAGTAAAACTCCAAATTTATGTACCAAGCTGTCAATTAGGCCTCTAAAGCAAGGTCACGGAACGTTACCGTCAGCCATAGCCTGGCCAGGCCTCCAGCCCGGTGCCGGAGTGGGAAAAACCTCAGGTGGTGCTGGAGGCATGAAGAAAGTGGAAGGATTTGCGCCTAACCCCATATCTTCCATTACCTTGAACACCTGGAATGGCAGAGTAAGGTAATTCCACATCTTGATGGAGTCCAAGTGTTGGACCCGAGATGCAGGGCTCACCTTTTGCAGGTACTCTTCAGCTTGTTTCTCCTTGCCAGCTTCAAGCAGGTAGCAATGCACAATTTTGATGAAGCGTTTGTTGCTGGCCACCAGAACCTGCGCCACGCAGTCCTTGAGAAGAGCAGAGTCCAGCGGACTGGGGTTAATCCGATGGGCTGAATCGCTTTTATGGACGGCAATTTGTTCTGCAAGGCCCTCTTTCAGGAAAGTGAGTGAGAAGCACTTTTGCAGTATGGGAAGCATTTCTTCTTTGTTGAGGAGAAGCTGTTCCGGGATCAGATGGAGGTTTTTGAAGTGAAGTTCCATTATGCCTGCAAAAACAGAGGCGTCTGGATTCGGAGAGGTCGACATCATTGTTGAATTTTTGTTGGGTTTGGAGTTTGGGGTTTTGGAGAAGGAAGGCGTTGGCGGTGGTGTATTTGTAGAAAGAGTCATATTATTATAATATTTGAAGGATCAACCTTGGTCACTGTACACGTCTGCGCCCACCTCTGCTCTCTCCCTCCCTTTTTTATATATATTTAAGTAGAATGGCATTTGATATAGCACCACCAAAAGGAATTCCAGAAAGAAAACAAAAAAGGAATTCCAGGTCAGAATTTTAGTCGAAGCACTTTCATGTCATGACTTTTAGAAAATCATGTCCCTTACCCGATACAACCAATACACAGAGACAGAGATTATTTTTTTTTGGTCAACAGAAACAGAGATGTTGGGCATTGGATCAAAATTTCTCCAATTTGAATGGTCAGAAACTTCCCCAAACATATTATGAGCTCTTCAGGCAAACACAAACACTGTCGCTATGTGGCAGTTTTATCCAATACAATCAATACACAGAGACAGAGATGTTGGGCATCGGATCAAAATTCTACAACTTGAACGGTCAGAAACTGCCCCAAACAAATTAGGAAAATATTAAAAAAACTATTAGAGAAAGAAAGAAAAAGGAAGAATGATTAAACATTTGTACTCTTCTGTGGCAGTTTTATGCGAGTGGTTTGAAAATGGAAAAGGGAACACTTCCCAAGTATAAATAGAATTTCAGAAGAAGAATAAATATTTTTTATTGAACGTGTGCCTAAATTAAATATTAATATTCAATTCTTTAATGTTAAATATTTAATTGGAAATTGCAAGGGGTCATGCGAGCTCGCGACCGCCAAGCCTTGGCTGCATCCAAACGGCCACGTGTGCTCCATCCAACTTTGATGGATGATTTATCAAACGCGCGCAACCGCTAAATGGTGCGGGTCCCGCGCAGGCCCCCGTTCACACCAAAATCAATCATGAAACAAATACCATAAGCATTAATTTGATTGAATAAAGTGCGGGAGGCCACCCATTGTAATATAAAATTTGCCGATTGAAACTGGACACAACCGTCTTATTCTTCCCAACACACGACAGCTTTAATGTATCTGCACATCGGATAATCAAATTCAGGTCAGCATCCATGGTAACAGCCATTTGTCAAAGTCATCATGATATGGTGATGATGATGATAAGATTCATAAATCTAGTACAACTTTAGAGTGGCAAAATGTACGTAAGCAAATTCAACAACAACCCGATAGTATGGACTTATAACTAAGAAGGATATTAAAGTAATTGATTATTTGAGCTAAATATTGTTTTAAAAAATAAAAATAAAAATAAAAAGTTCAGGGGCATTTGGCCTTGTATGGATTCAGTATGATAAATTTACCAAACTACATCAACCACCTATCCAAGTTTCAGTTTGAAAGAAAAATTTGTGACCTATGATTCTCAATTAATTTGTGACCAAGAGCATAATAATTATACATTTCTATTAAATTACTTGATTCAATAAAGTGGCCACACACAATATCCAAGCCCAATTACAAATTACAATTCATATGGATGGAAACAAACCCTCACTCCCTTCTACACAAACCTTTCTACAAACAAACCCAGCAAAAGCAAAGCAACAAAACAAACACACAAGTTTCACACACAAAAAGCCTTCCACTATAAAACCTATAAAAATGACACAATCAAAAGGCGCCTTTTCGGAGGATTGATTCAGTCTGATGAGTCAATCAGAGGACACGCCCTCCTCCTCTGCTTCATCAATAGGCGCCTTGTCCCGAGCCTGGGCTTTAGCCTCATCGATCCAAAGAACCCCGCCGACGCCGTGGCTGGGCTTCTTCATCGGCAGATCATAGGGACAACATGGGTCGTCCTCGTCCACACCACCAACAGCCACCGCCTTCCGCTTTGCCACGTTGCTCTGCTTCTCATAACCAACACCATAATTGCGACCATCCGACTGAAAACAGAGAAAACAGATATTCAATGCAATCAAGTTGAAGTTACCCATCTACTAATTACTAAATAATACCATAGTTTCGTCGTTGCCGTTAAAATTGGCACCGGTGCCGGCGGCAGCAGCAATGACTTGACAATGACTATGAGCATGGTTAAGTGCGGCCGTCCAGCCTTGTTGTGGAATGGGAAACAGCTGTTGCAGCGCCGGGAATTGAACATCATCGGATCCGATTGGGGCCTCAACGAGGCCTTTCGCGACGAGCGCCTTCTGAATTTCGGTTCTCAGTGTGAGAATATTCCAGACACGAATCGAATCAAGGTTTCCGATTTCGGCTTCACTTTTGCTGTTCAGAATCTTCTTGTACACCGCCACCTCATCATCACTCCCGTACTCGCCCAGGTACCACACCACGTAATCAATGAACCGGGAGATGTTCTGGCTCTTTATTTCTCCGACGAATTCGGTCGCCGGCGCCGTCGCATCCGGCGGCGAGACGTTGAGATCCGGGATATAATTGGGTCCCCCGTTTGGTGCGGGGTCCACAAAATTCTGGTCACCACCCTCAGCCGGCACCAGAAAACAGAAATCCACCACTTGCCGGCGGCTGCTGCTATGGCGTAAGGTCATGTTCAACCGGAAAGCCATAATTGCAGCCATAGCGTCTTGTCGGGTGGGTCCATTGACCGGGAGAGCAGTCAGAAGAACCTCCTCCGGGCACAAACTAGTACCTCCGCCGCCGCAGTAGGCCGCAGCGTACACCTTCGTCTGTGGGCCCCTGAAGCTGAAAGCAGCGTTTGGAGCCACGATAGCAGCTGAGGCTGGTCTGTGTCCAGCCCCTCCAATGTTACTGCTTTCTTCGACCTTTGCCGGTAGGATCGTTGGCAGACGGACTTCTCTTAGGTGGTGGAGAAGTAAATTGGAAGAAAAAGGGCTGAGAAGAAAAGCCATGGCCATTGCTGCTATAGCTAGCTAGCTCTGAATCAGAGAGAGAGAGAGAGAGAGAGATGTGGTTCAGGTGAAGAAGATGGAACTTGTTTGTTTGCTTTATATAGAGCAAGGTGGGTCCCACTGGGTGGGCCCGTCTCATTTTCATGCAAAGTCAAGGAGTGGAGGTTATGTTACCGACCATTTGATTTGGTTAGCATCGTTCACTAATAGACCTAGGGCCGACAAGAATATGAGTCGATGCAATCCCAATAATATTTCTAGTGGAACATCCTTCACAATTCCTAGAAAGATAGTTCACTAATAGACCGAGGGATGACTGTCGGAAACATAATAACAAAAATATTTCTAGTGGAACATCTTTCACAATCCCTGGAATTGGTTTTGGAACCCTCTAATCATCAGTAATTAGTTGATGTAAAATAAATAACAATTCCATACCTAACTTTTATTAGTGTGTGTTACGACTGCAGCACTTGTACAAGTTTCCTCAACTTGGATGACTGCACAAACAAATTATGTTCCGCCCACCTTCTCTCAAGACCTCGAGTAGATAGCAATTGACATGACAATTTTGTTTGATCAGTTTTAGAACAAGCCGAACCCAAAGTGGAAACACGAAAGTCACCCACCTAAAATCAATTGTTCAAAAAGCTCAATTTCAAAAGTACTTTATCATTTTTGTGCATCAACAGATATGATTATTCTCAATTCACATCATGGACCTACCGATTAATGAAATTCAACAAATTTTTTTTACGGGAAAATTCAACAATTTAAATGGTATGAGTTGTACAGGCAAAAGAATGGATGGAACTTGCAATAATATATCCAATGAAATCCAAGTACATGAACCGACTAAATTATGGTTGGCTGTTGATCAGGTTCAGCATAGGGCCATGGATGGATCCCTATGGAATCCGTACCTGAACCAATGAGATGAGAGAGAGCCGAACGAAAACGAAGTTGAAAGTTGAAACCAACGAACTAGGAAAAAGATAAACAGAAAAAGAAAAAGTTAATAGTTGATATATAAATGGTAGAGACAAGATGGTTTCGTGGGACATGATTCCCACTTTGGCCGCAACCTCCTTTTTCCATAGTCTCCCCAAAAACAATTGGGCTTTTTATTTCTATAATTAATTATGCTGAGAGTAGTTAATTATTTTTTATATGTACTCTTCATAAACAAGAATTTCAGCTATTATTATTATTTTAGGCAATAAAAACTGAAGAAACAAACAAACAAACAAGCAAAGCAAGCAAGCATACTACCAACCACCATATGCAATCTCTAGATTCTCTACAAATGTTGTCGTCTTCTTTAAGCATTTCGTCCGTGGAAAATCTCACATTTTTTCCAAGTTGGCACATTATTATACTCAGTGGCGAACTTATTAAGGCGTAAGGAGATGCAGCTGCATTTTTATTCACCAGAAAAATCATTGTAGGTGTTTTAAATTGCCAATATCTTTTTCATTTTACTTTTATTTAATTTTATATTACTTCACTTACTTAAGTTTACAATGTAAATATTTGGATTCAAATCAAGATACTAGAAAATCAAATTCCCACCAAATCAAAATATAAAAAATTGGTTTTAGTGCAAAATACGATTTAGGCTAAAAATGATGGCTAATTAAGTCAATATATACTTCATACTAAAATCCCATAAATCAAGTTTTCTTATTTGATGTGTAAGGAATAAAAGTCACCAAAAATTATATTGAGAAAATGATTGTTCCGAAAAACCATTTTTCATATTTAGTCAATATTTTTACATAAAACAATTTTTCATGTATGATATGTATGCATGAAGGGATCTAAAGTCAATTTAGATAAAAAAACCTTAGATGTTTAATCCACAAAGAGGTTTTAGCTTTTCAAAATTACACATTTGCTAAAAAATCTTAGGTCCACCAGTGATTATACTATCGCTTTTTTTTTTTTCCTTTTCTTCTTTGGCAAACAAAAGTAAGTGATGATGCTCTTATATTCATGCTTGCTTTCTCCACCATGTTCTGTATAATAAATAAATATAATAAAACAAAACACTCACTATCAGACAAAAAAAAAACATAAAATATAGGATTAGCTATTTATTTTGTATGGTTGGCGACAAATCAAATTGCATAAACGTTATTTTTTAATGATGTGATGAGTGTCCTTTTCTTCACAAAGGAAAGGAGCTAAGCGTTGTTTCAAATTCATTTTATAAGTAAAATAATGCTGATCGATTAGCTGTCAATAAAATAAAATGCATGGTGGTGTTGATAAAAGGCAAAAAGATTCTTCTTGTACCACTTCAGTTGTCAAACGGTCCTACCATCACAGCCATTGTAAGTGTTGAAACTGGATATAAGAGAGGAAAGAAAGAAAGAGATCCTATTGGGAGGGATTCGATCTTGGGTGCCATGAGAGAGGAGGAATTCACCACCACTGTGGTGGGAACCCATTCGCTTGGAACTGGATATTTGATGGGGTCAAATTAAAGACAAGCTTTTGTAATAGCTTTTTCTTTTCCTTGC